TTCCAACTACATGATTTCTTGTCCCTTACAGGTTTGTTTTGTTTTGTTTTGTTTTGGTTCAGTGTTTGGGATTGAGCCAGAACTTTCAATCATACTAGGCGAGCCCTCTGCCATTGATCCATATCCCCAATCCTAGGGATGTTTTAATAAATGATTCTCTTGTGCTTGGCTGTGTCAGAGCCTGTATCAAGAAAAGCTGCTACAAATGCCAATTTAAGACAACTTATTTGCAAATGTACTCATATTAAGAATTTTTAGCAAATTAGATTCAGTCTGTATCAGAAAAAAATCCTTATTGCTCAGAATTATATAGGTAATAGATCAGAAATATTTTCTATATATTTTCCCTAAGTTATAACAAAACCAAAGTCCTCTACAGATTGTAAAAGTTAATGCAGTGTATTTAGGCTTAAAGTCCTAATTACTTTGGCATTTTCTCCCCTAAAATTCAGGAAAGACTAGGTCAAAATGTACAGTAAGTGGAACTTGAAATACAATCAGAGTATTGATAATATATACATATTGTTTATTGGAGCTGCTATGGCCACTGTAGTTTTCTTTAATATTATTGATAATAATAAATGTTTAATTGTATTAATACAGTCATAATTGAATGTAACTTATTTTCTATAGATGACTATTATGAGTGAATTTTATAGTTGACATAACCATCAAATAACCTTCAGATTTTCATTGTAAAAACGAGAACATTTTAGAAGAACGTTTTATCACACTGCAATATAAAGAGAATGGTGAAAAATCTTAATGTTTGATACTGAAAAAGTTGTTATTAGTGATCTGCATAAGCCACAGAGGTAGCACCTACTTTGCTAATATATTCATGTTTAAAAATAACTTACTTCTTTATATATTTTATATTACTGTATTTTATGAAAAACTGGGCTTCTTAAAATTTGATTAGAAATGAGTGTAACTAATATGTACCTTATGTCACATGTGTGGTGTGACAGTGCCTTTGAGAATATTCTTTGTGCAGACTGTTGTGTAATCATAAGGACCTACAAGATATATCTCTAAGTTTCTACAAGATATGATCATGACAATGATTTTGAAGTTGCTTGTAGGAAGGGAACCATCTGTTGCTTGTTTAATTTTGTCTTTGTGTGGTTATTTTCTGAAACAGCTTATTTCTAGTGTTTCTAATCGCTTCAGGATATTTTTAATGGTTTATTTTTTGTATTATAGCCCAAGACCTGCAAAATTTACAGAGCGTCCTCGACCTGGTGTACAAATGATCTGTTCTTCCTTTAGTGCTGGTAAGATTGTTTCTCCTCTAATTTTCCACTTAAAGTTGTTTATTAAAAGACTTGTAGAATTCTTTAAATTTTGGAAAATACTATAAACACTGTAAATCTTGCTTTCATACATACTCCAGAACTAATAAATAATGATAAATTGACTTAGAAATATTTGAACTTTGCTTGAATTGTTTATATAATAATAAATTATATGAATATAATAATGTGAATATTTTTTAAAGAAATGTGTACTCTTGCTCCAGATTATTTGTATTTGCTTTTTTAATATTTTCCCCCTGGTACTGGGGATTGAATCCAGGACCTTGTGCACACTAGGCAAGTGCTTTACCCACTGAGCTATCTCCCCAGCCCTTCATATTTGCTCTTTAAAAAGTAGTTGTAGAGCAGTGGCAGTATTCTGATAACTTGATTTTTGTAGCAGTGTTTTGAATGAAAGCTTTCCATTACCTAAATATTTAAATGAATTAAAAAGAAACTAACATAAATACATATTCCTTGTACATAATACTGTACATAGTATTCTTGATATCTGTTCCTTCCACCTCTATTTTGTTTTACTTTATTCATGTCATAATTATGGATAGCAGTTATTACCTGGGAGAAGGGATAGAAGACTGAAGTGAAGCTGTTTTTGCCTTTAATGTTCAGACATCATCAGTTTCTGAATTCTAGATTTCCAGTGCTGACACTGTACATACATTCATAGTATTTTGAATTAATGGTTTTCAAAGATAATTTGATTTCTTTTTAAAAGGATATGTTAGCAAAACGACTTGTTTTGTTATATACATGAACTTGACACTGAGAGAGAATGTCCTTATGGGAATAATATCCATAGCCTAGTCAGTAACACAGTGTGGAATTCGTGCTGTCTTAGGAGGGCTTGGAGGACAACAAGCTTATTTGATTGCAGAGCTGGTAAAGATAAATTACTCAGTTGGACCTAGAAATTTGACAACATTTGACAAATGGTAATTGAGTCAAGAAAAGGATATATCAGCAATTGTAACTATCATATTTTCCAGTGAAGATGATTGATGTAATTTTATCACAGTGAAATTATGTAATCACTTAGTTGGAATTATTTTTAGAACACAGCTTTAGTTCTGTAAATATATCAAAAAGTCCATCATAGTCAAAGGTATAGCAGCAAGCTTTTTAAAATTGTTCTTAGATGTGTTACATGTTTAGGATAAATGAGTGATTTTAGAGTCAAATTTAATTAACTTGGTGTATATTAGATCATTGCTTCTATTTTACTTAGTGTTTAGAGATTTTAAAGTTATGTTTTACTCAGAAGTTTGCTATTATTCTTCATAGGTGGAATGTTTCTGGCCACAGGAAGCACAGATCATATTATTAGAGTTTATTTTTTTGGATCAGGTCAGCCAGAAAAAATATCAGAATTGGAGTTTCATACTGTAAGTATAGGGGAAAGGAATTAGAGAAGTATAATTTAAATGACTAATTAAATTTAATAGCTTATATTCAGCTTCTGCTTTTTTTGTCTATTTATAGGATAAAGTTGACAGTATCCAATTTTCCAACACTAGTAACAGGTACAGTATTTTGGCTAATTTAATTCCAGTTTTCATGAAATGATAATTTTAGTCAGATTTTAGTTTTAGTTGTATATGAATTAATTGCCTAAAATATCTTGAACAGTTAAACTGAAAGGCCTTCATATGCACGTAAGCAGGTGTGTATGTCTTATTTATAATTTTAGTTTATTTGCATGCTTTTAATAGTAGATGCTTCTTTCCTCTTTAAATTTCCTGTATCTTTCCTCTATATATCAAAGTATAGAGAAGCTTCTGGTAGAGATTAGAAAGACAGACTGCTTTCCTGATGATAAAAGATGATATTGTGCAAATTTTTCCACATTTTTTTTGAAAGGAAATAAAGCTACTTGTTACATTGAGTAGAACTAACAAGTTCTTCAATATTGACAAGAAAGTCAGTGTTTTTTCCATTGGAAAATATCAGTTCTATTTGTAGGATTGCCTGGAATCACTTTTGAATATTTTAATACAGGTTTGTAAGTGGTAGTCGAGATGGGACAGCACGCATTTGGCAATTTAAACGAAGAGAGTGGAAGAGCATTTTGTTGGATATGGCCACTCGTCCAGCAGGGTAAGAGATCAAATTTCAATTTTCATATAAGTTACTTAAATTATATTGCAAGATGGAGTGGCTCTTGCCTGTAGTATCTTAAGTCATGTTAAAGTGATTGGTTTTCTGCAATAACTAGAGCCTGTGTTAGAGGTGAACATTTTTCATTGCCATATATGAAAAGATTTGCTGAGTTAATCTTTAATTCAGTAATGTTAAGGGGATGATAATAGTACTGTAAAAATAATTAAGACTTTTTAAACATTGTATGCAGAAATAAGAAACTGTTCCATAGAGACAGTGTTTTTCTCCAGCCAAGATAAATTATATGTGGTAACTGTTATTTTGGTTTTACTATATTATTATTTTTCCTCTACTTGTATTTTTGTGTAGTTGTGTTGGATGGAGGGTATGAGAGCAGCAATAAAAGTTGAGTCAGCAGCATTGCCCTGAGGTCCTGGATTTAGACAGATTTATAGCAGGACTGTTCTCCCCAGGCTGTGTGTTCCTTGGGAGTGTGAGAATCCTGGAAATCCTGGGTTTCCTGACTCAGTGTAGTGACTTTTGTCGTCATTCTCTGTTGACTCAGAGTGATAAATGATAGTTATTTTAATTAAGTAATTATAAACAAACACACCTCCTTTTCAGCCAAAATCTTCAAGGAATAGAAGATAAAATCACAAAAATGAAAGTAACCATGGTAGCTTGGGATCGACATGACAATACAGTTATAACTGCAGTTAATAACATGACTCTGAAAGTTTGGAATTCTTACACTGGTCAACTTATTCATGTCTTAATGGTAAGTAAAAAGACAATGTTATTGTTGCCTTTTTTGGTATGATGAAACTGACTATACTATGTAATATTTCCTTTGAGAAATAGTCTTTTATGTTACCTAAAAACTTTCTTGCTAGGGTGACATAGCTTTTTGAGTGATTCAGAATAGTTTAAAAATGCAGTTAAACAGATTTGTGTTGGAAACACATTGTAGATTCTTGCTGTATTTTGGTATATAAAGGTATCTTCATAGTATTCTCATGTTTATTAAAATGATAACAAAGTCCTGTACTGGGCTTTTAGTTGAGTTTTGTTACCATTTGTACATTGATAAATCTGAAAAATTTTGCCAATTTAATTCATGAAACTCAGTTTCTAGAGATGTGGTTATGTTAGTGTTTCGTGAAGCTTTTTTTCCTTCTTAAAATATTTTAAGATTCTTGTCACTTGTAATATATTTTAGGGTCATGAAGATGAGGTATTTGTTCTTGAGCCACACCCATTCGATCCTAGAGTTCTCTTCTCTGCCGGTCATGATGGAAATGTGATCGTGTGGGATCTAGCAAGAGGAGTCAAAATTCGATCTTATTTCAATATGGTAATTGTCAATCTCTTTGTTTCATACCTGTTGACGAATTGGGGACTTTTTGAAAAAAGGTGCTTTCCATGTAACAAAGGAAATCCACTTAAAAATTGATTCAGACATTGTTTTGAACATAAATTTTCCACTAAGAAAGAATTGTATTCCACCTTTTATTGAGGTGCTAAACTAAAAAACTGTGCGTATTGTAGTGCCTGTATATTATAGTAACTAGCCTAGTTTTACGCATTTTAGCAGTGAAACCATGGTTAGAAATTTACATGTGTGTAGTCTCAAGAAGAAAATATATCTGGAAAACTTTTTAAAAATTGCAGTATTTATATTGTAATTCATTAGTAGTCACCTAGAGTAGTAGAATTTGGTTCAGATATGTTGATTTTAAAATCAAAGGATCAGGCAGTTTTTGCCTTTGATCAGGGTACTGTATTTACATGGTTTCATACCTTTTTCATGCCACATTTTGTTTCTTACATAGCTGTCAACATGGCTAAGTATTTAGATTGTAGCAATTTAATTTCACAGCTTACAAAGCAGTGTCACATTTCTTAAATACTGCAATTTATTTTGTCATAGTTTTAAATTTTTTCCCATATATTAAGGGCATATTTCAACAAAGAAAGGAAATGTGTTTCAACTATTTTTATATTTATTTTTAAAAATGATAGAATCTTTTAATGATAAATCCTAAAATAGTACAATTGATAATTTTTGGTCAGAATTATTTTACAATACATATTAATTTACAGAAAGCAACTGTTTGTAAAATATAGTGGATTATGAAAAAAGTATATGAAAATGATGCTATCTTTGATAAAGGAAAATAGCTTCTGCATAGTAAGTAGGCAGAAGATAAAAGTGAAGGGATTGACTGGTTATCATTACTTCTGTGCCTTAGTGTACACATGGTGGGAAATAAGGATTGTAAAATTCTCAATTTTCTAAAAGTAAATAGTGTCGGTTCTTTGGGGTGCCACTGTAAGTGATGAGTGGATTTCCTTTGTAGTTACACAAAGAGGTTTTTGTTTGGTTGGGTGTTTGGTTTTTTGTTTTCTTTTTATGCAGATCTGTAAATATATAGGTAAAGAATTTTTTCCCCTTTTCTTTGTTTTTGCTTTGTTCCTTTGTGGTACATCTGTTGAACAGGGAAATAAGTCATTTCTCAATTTATCGTTAGAGTGTAAAGAGAAAAGAGAGATAGGCTATCCATGTTTTAGTGGCTTCATTTGGTAATTTTTATGTTTTCAAAAAATATTGTCCTGGTAGTACAAAGGGTAAGTTTCATCAAAACTGAATACTTCTTTCACCTTTCAGTTATAAAGGTGAACTTTTCTTCATCAGGTAAATTGGTCACACTAATAGTCTCCCTTTTCAAGATATAGAAGTTGTAGTTCCTTGAGATTTAAGTGGTTTGCTCTTAGGTCATTACAGTTTGTGTTGTTACCAGAAATCAGCTATAATGTTTTACTCTTTGAAATTAGATAAGAGCTTAGCTACTGTACTACCTTAATTATTTATTATTTAGAGTTGTAGATAAGGAAATTTCCCTGTTCTTTCCATGGATAAGAGAAAAACATAAAGGGCATTAGAAATTTATGTAATAAGTGGAATTGGACAGTATCCATTGGCTCTTCAAATGGTATGAAAAGCAAAACATAAATTCAAAAGAATAAAGAATATGTCTTACATTTGAAAAGCAGAAAATGAACTACCTTTTGTTTCATAAAAATAAAAGTATTCTTTTTAGGTTTTTGAATGATTTTTAATGATTGCACAATGCTTTTACATATATTACTCATTTGAGTCTCGTGAAAGTGTTGTATAAGTAGAGGAAATTTTAAACTTGGTTTTATATATGGAGAATGTATACATTATAGAGATGAAGTGCTTTGTCCAGGTTTACCAAGATCACACAGCTATTACATGGGCACTTGGAACTGACTCCCATTTTCTGTCTTTTACTAATGTATTCTTAGCAGTAAATCTAGCCATGGTTCACTTCTTTTATCTTTTTTTAGTGTCGTTGTATAAGTAACCTCCAGTTAATACCTAGTTAGTGATATGTCCAAGAGGAAAGATTTGTATAATGATATTAGCTCTGAATGGATTTATTTGAAGTCTTAATCTTTTACTTAGTGATTTTTTTTTTCTTTTTTCTAGATTTATGTTCTCAAAGTGGCCTACTGTTCTTTACTCTTTATTTTTTATTTGTTTATTTTTATTTTTTTTAGGTACTGGGAATCAAACTCAGGACCTTGTGCTTGCCAAGCAGGCACTTGTGCTGCTGAGCTATATCCCCAGCCTCTCTTTACTCTTTAGTTCATTTTATTGCTTGTTTTATCTCTGAGCAGATGAAATACAAATCATCCAGTCTTGTTGTTAATAAAGAAAAACAATTTGAGGGAGACTAGAAACATATGTTATCATTGTCTGTTCTCATGAAGGTTGAGGTGTTTGCTAACTTATAGTTGGATTTGTGCAGCTAATCAGTACCTTTTATAAGTTACTAAAATAGTGTAAAACTTTGATTGAATCCAAATTAAATCTCTGATGTTAAGATGTACTGTAATCACAAATTCAACCTTGTATGTTTTGAGCATCGTGTGAATGTTCTAGTCATTCTATAAATGGCAAAAGTTTAGATGAAGTATAAGGTTAAGTACTATTTCTTGGGGTATTTAAAAATGAAGCTTGTAAAATGAATAACTTACTATCAGGTTTACAGCCGGAAAGTATTGTAAAACGTACTGTAATTTAAAGGAATGAAAATATTGTGTATGAATTTTTAAAAATAAAGGTTTTCATTGAATACATTTTGAGAATACAGTATTGCTTTAATGTTTTTTAAATAATCAAATTTTCAATTCGAAATTTATAGTGTCTGCAAAAAAACATGGAATTTGTGTGACAGATAATTCAGTGTGCTGGGTTAATCTACATTGTACATATTTATCATTTTGGATTATAAGGTGTTAAGATTTTAATTATTGCACTGATAGTCATCATTTGGGTAGATATTCTTACAGCTAGCTTTTCTCATTAGATACATTGGTGTATCTAACTGATAAAAACAGTGGGATGTAGGTTCTGGCATTTTTATTTATAAGACGTATATGAGAGCTGAGATGATGTTTGAAAGTTTGCTAATACAAGCATGAAATTTAATAGACAGTGCGTGTTGCTTATCTTCCTTTGCTCTGTTGTCTCATCTTTAACTAAAAATAAAACTAAGCATAAACTTTAAAAAGCATTTGTTGAAAAATCCTTTCTGCTCTCTTCATTCTTCCCTTTTTAATGAACCAGGAAAAGAAGCTAAACAAAAGGTTGTAGAAAAAGTTATGACTATTAAGACTTACTCCTTTAAAAAGGAAAAAAAAAAAACCCTAAATTCTAATCTACAGTCTTTTAAAAACAGTATCATTACATATTTATGTTTCAGATGAATAGTCCCTATTAGATAACTGAGTAGTTGGAGGAATAGTAGTATATATATACTTTAATGTTTTATTGAAGCACACAGTGTATATTAAGAATAATTTCAAACAAGTTGTGTATAGTTTAGCAAGCCCATCTTTTTTGTGTGGTGTTGGTAATAGATAAGCATCAGTATGGCTTTGTTTTTGTTTTTGAGTACCGGAGATTGAACCCAGGGCATTGCCACATGTTAGGCAAGAGCTCTACCCCTGAGCTACAGTCCCAGCCTTCTTTCTCTTTTTTCATTCGAAGCAAGATCTCACAGAGTTGCCCAAGTTAGCCTAGAACTTGTGATCCTTCTGCTTTAGCCTCCCAAATAGCTGGTACTAAGGCAGAATTAAGGTGACTGTGGCAATTATATAGATTCATTTTAATGAGAATTGTTTAAACTGACTCTAAACTCCAATTAAATGCTAAAAGGCAGATAAATCATTCCCATAAATAACTTGAAATTGTGTGTAAACTCTGTTTACTGAACTCAGTGGCCTTGTATTATTATTCCTATTCTCTGAAAGAGGTAAGCAGATTTAGAAGTTTACTAAAACTTTAAATGTTCCAAAAACAAAGTTGTTTCTTGGCCTTATTTTTCCCATTAAGTTACTACACCGTGTAGTATATGTAAAAATTCATAAAAATTTAAGTGAATTTTAATTTGAAAAGATAGTAAGATTTTCACATTTGTGAGACCATTTGAATATTAGATAGTAAATAAAAGATACTTGGAGTGGGACTTTAGACCCCATGTTAGTAGCTTTCCTTATGTCTCTGGAGCACCTGCTCGCTCTTTTCTCTGTAGTCCTGGCTATGTCTGGCTTTCTCTCCATGTCTCTCTGTTTCTGTCATGTTATTCAAAGCTGTAGTTTGTTTGCCTGTCTGGTTATGAGTTTAATTGAAGACTATAATGTCTTTTGTTAGAAAGTGGCTTTACTGAATTCAAGTTTTGCTTTACTTTTGTTGTTGCATGGGTAAATTCCAAATAACAGTTTTCATTTAAAGTTTTCCTCATTTTTATAATTGTTCTCTTACTGTTTCTTTTACTTAAGAGATTTTTAAAAAAAATGTTCCAGTGTCCACTAATCCAGAACAATATATTTCTCCTTGCAACGTTCCAAGTGAGCAGAGGCTGCCAATCTACCACTCAGAATTTTTGCACATGCATATATTTCTTCTGACATCAACATGTTCTCAGTGTGACCTGTACTTTAGTTTTTTAGACAGTTATAGCTGTATGTATCAAAGAAAGGAAGAAAGAGAAGTTCAAAATAGATAGTAGCTCATACTGTGTTATCTCTTGTGAACCAGCCTACCTTCTTTCCTTCCATCCATCAGCTAATAAATGTCTTATGTCTACATAGTCTATGTTAAAAGAACTACCTGAATGCTTCCTGTCCCTTTTTCATTTTCTCTGAGTAAGGACTTGTCTTCAATCTTCTGATCGTTAAGCTTAGATATTATACTTTGGTTCTAGTTTTTGGAGTTCTTCAGATTCTCTTTTTAGTCTATATCTTGGTATCAAAAACATATATTAAGAGTTTTTGTTATAAATCTGTCCCTCCAGCTTCCCATACTCTTATCTTATTTGGTGAAATACTTTTAAGTAGTAATTCTTTGATATACTGAATCACCTGCTGTGCAAGACTGAGATTTGATAGAAGAGAAAGTATATAAAATGATATAGAATGTGAGCACGCAGGTGAAGACATTTTGATTAGCAAATGTTTAAGTACTTATTTTGTGTGGAGCACAAAATGTTAGGATCACAAAGAGAAAAGTGGGTGGCTTTTAGTCAGCTTATAGTTAAATTGGGAAAATATTTGCAAAGATTAATATTAATAAAGTGAAGTGGTAGCATGCCAAATGAGAATAGACAGTTGCTACTTCCTTAAGGATGTAAAGATCAGTTTAAGGTGAATAGTCTTAAGAAAGTTTTGTTGAAGAGGAAGAATTATGTCTCATTGTAAAATAGAAGAGAATACATTTGTATAAGAAGAACATTATAAGCAAAGTAAGTATTAAGACATGTTCATAATCTAGATAATTTACATAAAATATGTTTTGGAAATGGGCAATAAGATGAAAATCATAAATTGAGGTTGATTTATCAGTGGCCTCAAATCATCTTGTAGGCATAAATGATGAACATTGTGATGATGTTAAAAATTACATTATAGGGTAAACTAGAAGCTAAGAGCAGTAGATTTCTAGTATTAGTATATCTATGAAATCGAGCAGTATAGGGAAAACTGCTTTAATAGAAAAAGGAAGAAGGTTATAAATCTGTAAGTTGATTCTGCCAAACAGCAAACTTTTTCAATCTTCCTCTTCTGAATTGAGATCCTGTGGAAATACAACTTTTCATATTCAGCCTCATACAGATACAGGCATACACATACATGTATTTATGTGTATTATTTGTCATGATTGAAATAAGTTAAATCCTATAATTTTAATCTGCATTTTAATAAACTTCATTTCCCCATTTGTCCACTTCTTCCAACAAGCCTTCCTGAACATGACATACTGTAGTAGAATTTTAGAATTGGGTAGGACTGTAATGGTCATTTCATTGTTCTCTGTCATTCCACAGAGATATTAGATAATTTCCCCATTAATGTTGAAGATATCTCTTTATTCTTAGACCTTATTCTTGCGTCTCCTTTTTTCTGCTTCAAAAAATTAAGTTGTGTATTTTTCCTTAAATATAATAATTCTGTCATCACCAAAACTGAAGTCAGATTGTATATTTAATTTTTTAAAGTTAAGTGCAAATCTCTAAGTCCTAACAAATTACACTCCTTATTTCTTGTTAAGATTTCCAGAATTTGCCAGTCAGTATGAGAATTTGCCAGCAAGAGAATCAGTGTTACTCAACATGTGATCCTATTTCCTGATTTAAAAAAATATATATATATACTCTTGATACTATCTCATGAATTGTTTCAGCTGTTCCTTAATGTTATTTCATGTATATGAAGTTTAGTATATGGTCTTTACTTATATATGTCCCAAATAATACATAATAAGCATATTTGATTTTATTAGAGGAATAAAGCTTGCTGTTTTGAAAATTCATCATTATTGTAATACAGCATGTATTGTGTTCTTGTATAAGCTGTATACAGTAACAGTTTTTTCTTGACTCGTTCTCTTGCTAGGTAGTACATTTAATTTTGATAGGCCCATATACTTTTCACCTGGACAAGAAAGTTCAACCTTACTGTTTTTGTTATATATATACATTTCTTAAAATGGTGCCTTTATTATTAAATTTTTACTTGAGAATTCTTATTCATAAATACTTCGACTCTGATTTTAAAAGATGAACTACTTTTCAGAGGAAAATGTTTAACTTTCTTTTTGCCTTGGTTTTGTTAATCAGCATATATCGTAAAAATAGTGTAGGGTATTTTTAGTTGCATAGAGGGGGAAGTAAGTTTTTCTAATTTGTATCATCAACTGTTTGGAAAGCCTGTTCTGTATTTTATAGATATGAGCATTTATTATTTGAGGAACCATTAAGGAAGGTAAACTTGAGTTTTTAATTAATAAGGTTATAGCTACCTTTTCTGATTAGTTTATGAGTAAATGGTGGGCTGGGGATTTAGCTCAGCAGCACAGCGCCTGCCTGGCAAGCGCAAGGTCGTGAGTTCAATTCCTAGTACTGGGGGTGGGGTGGGGGAAGAAATGAGTAAATGGTATCTTTTTGATGCCTTCATTAATGAACAGCAAATAATTCATTAATGTACTTTTTTCTGATACGATTGAAATGTAATTTCATTTTCATTGTATAAAAGTCACTGGAGTTAACCGATTCCTTACACTAAGAAAATTAGTACTATTCTCCCATATTGATAGTGGATTGTGTTCTATAGAACTCACAACGTTTTTAAATACCGTTGCTATTTTTCTTTGCTTTTTGGGGAACTTTATAAATTCCACCTTTTCTATTCTTCTAGACATATGTGCCAGCATTGATAGATAGCTCTTACTATAGAATTATCCCCCCTACGCCCCCAAGGAAGAAAAATGTAAAGCAAAGTGGTTTAAATATCACAGGAAGGATACCATGCTTAGGAACATCCATTAGATTTCCTTGACAGTGCTGAATTATACTGCTTCCACATCTCTTTCTCTGCTTTCTGTGTACTTATAAACCTAGACTTGTAGTATAATTCTGAAAGTATGTATTACCTTAGAAAGTAGATTTATTAGTTACCTTTTCTCTTTGAAAGATTGAGTAAACAGATAAATTAATCATTCACCAATACATGGTTAGGACAATTCCAGTTCTTTAGTTTTTGATTTTTTGATGTAAAACTCTTTATCAAAGGGTAAGCTTTGTTTGTGTGGTTATAACAGTTCATGTATATAAAACATTGAAAATTAAAAACATGAATCCTGACATTTCTACTTGTAGTTTTTCTCATTTTTGGCCAGTGTCAAGCTATATGGCTCAGAATGCCCTTACATTAATCTGAAAAAGTACTTTGTTCTTGTTTTGGAATTGTTCTAAAGTAGATTAAAAATCAGTTGCCCTCCTGTACTATTCTTTCATCCTCTTTCCTCATACCTACAGAATAATTGTCTCATGATCCATTTGCTTGCATGTGGGGTACATTTTTGTGTACATTAGACACTAGACAAGTTTACTTGTTTTCTTTAACATGCTTACATTTTGAGGAAAATGATTATCCATTATCTCCATCCAAAACAATATTAGTAAGTACTATTACATACATTCTCTTGTGAGGAGCAAAGGAAAAGTTACCTTTTTGAGGCAATCTTATTTGCAATATTAATTTCTTTTCTTTTATGGTGGTATTTTCACTTTTAATCAGTCTTCCTTGGAAAACCAACTGTTCTTCCGAATTCTGATTAACTCGCTTTTGTATTCAGTGAACTGTGCATCTATCCTTATGCCAGATTAATTCTCTAGAAGGAAAACTATCACTTCTCTTTCTGAGCATTTCCTGGATTATCACTAAAGAACTCAGTTTGTTCTAGATCAGTGGATACCGGAACAGAAAGGAGGTATTTCTTACCTGATAATGTGTGTGTGTTCCGATTCTGCTAATCCAGAAATCCAGTCGCATTTGTTGAAAATCATCCTTAGTTGTTATTTGTTAGGGAGTCAACTCCCTATTTTAGTTGTTTCTGAAATTCAGTCCCTAGATGTGCTTAGATAGGGTAGAATTTTTACCTCTTTCAGAACACTGCTAAAGAAGTTTTCTACTGGAACATAGTGTGAAGAAGCACTGAGAGCAAAAAATTCAGAGTGGTGATTGGCCACCTCTGTTTGATTGACAGGTTGCAGGGAGAAACCCATTCGTTCTGGATTAATGGAACTGGAAAACAGAAAGCAATTATCAGGTAAAAAAAACCTTTTCTTTAACCTTTGAAATTCACCATTTAAAAGATGAGTCAGACCACTAGGGAATTTATACCAAAAAAAAAAAAGTTTAGTGTCTTTTAAGAAGTGATCTCTGGCTACTACTTCCAAGAGTTATCAAAAAAATAGCTGCAGTTGTTTCATGTTGTCAGCCTTTGCCAAAAGGACAGGAATGAATGAAAATGGATGGACTTAATGGCTCAGTTACATTTTAAATCTGGGTTAAAAATGTGAAGCTGAATTCTGGGTGGGGGAAATTGCTGTTCTTTTTATTTCCTGAATTGTGTCTGGTCTGTGGATAGAGTTCTTTGTTTTTCAGGGGTGTTAATCTGACACTTTTCTTGAATATTTGCAAATTTTATTACTGTACTGTGCTTATTATACCTAATCTTTCACTTCATTGCAATGTATATACTTATACATCTTTTATCATAAAATTCTAGTAATAATAGTAACCAGTTCTGAATATTTTAATGGCAATATTGTGATTATTGGTTAAATATATTTCAGATTGAAGGCCAAGGACATGGTGCAGTGTTTGACTGCAAATGCTCTCCTGATGGCCAGCATTTTGCATGCACAGACTCTCATGGACATCTTTTAATTTTTGGCTTTGGGTCCAGTAGCAAATATGACAAGGTAAAGTATGATTAAATGCCATCAAGTCATTATTACTATTTTGTAAGTTGATAGGTGTTTCAGGGTTATATTTCTACTGAGTGGGTGACAATCAACATTATTTAAAGCAAAGCTTTAAGAATTGTATTTTAAATGATCTAGAGGCATATTTTATAAAAGTAGGGTAATGATAGCAGTTCAACTTTTCTGTAACTAGATAACAATTCTTATTTAAAAATCTATACATTTTAGAAGGAATAACTTAGTCCCTCAGAGCGATCTAAATTTGAGTTCTTGAAAGTTTGTCATGTTTTTTATGTTACATAAACTATGGGGGAGTAGGGTTGTAGTTTAGTGGCAGAGTAAGTACTTAACTTGCACAAGACCCTGAATTTAATCCCCAGTAAAAATTACATAAAGTATGGTTAGTATGTGCCTAAGGCTTAAAGGTGTTTGATAGCTAAATGAAAGTAAAAATTCCTTTGATTTGTTCCTAGATTTGTTTTTACCATTTTAATTTACCTTTTATTTTGTATTTTATGTAAATATACACATACACACTTGCACACACATATATATTATTCCTGAGAAAATTGAAAGCAGTAACTTTTTTGATCATGAAATAATACAGACTTCTTTGTTTTTGTTTTGTGGTTCTAGAAATTGAACCCAAGGAACTTCATGGGTACTGAGCAGGCATTGTACCACTGAGCTACATTACCACTGAGCAGCCCCATTATACTCTTTTTAAGTTGTTGCTTATACTGTAATTTCCATTACAGTGTTTGTTTTCCATTTGAAATTTTGTAGGTTAAAAGTTTCATATTTTCATCTCCTATTGGTCTTTCTTTTTACAGATAGCAGATCAGATGTTCTTTCACAGTGATTATCGGCCGCTTATCCGTGATGCCAACAATTTTGTATTGGATGAACAGACCCAGCAGGCTCCTCATCTCATGCCTCCCCCATTTTTGGTTGATGTTGATGGTAACCCTCATCCATCCAGATACCAGAGATTAGTTCCTGGGCGTGAAAACTGCAGGGAAGAGCAGCTCATCCCTCAGATGGGAGTAACTTCCTCAGGTGGGTGCTCATTTTCATAGACAACCAAATTTTACTTTCTGACTGCAATTCTTAAAAATGACTAGTTTTGTAAAGCTTTGTTTTTACTTGTTTAGAGAAAAAGTACTCTCTGAATAGTGCTTAAGAATTAACAAGATTAGAGATTTAAAGCAGTAATTGTGGTTGTATTCATTTGTATCCTCTGAGCACTAATAAAAGCCAGTCTGATGTGGTATGCGATAAGTCAGTTTATCAATTACTGAACAACATTTATTGAGCATATTGTTTGTACCTGACCTGCTAAACTATAAGTATCTAGTAGAAAATTAAACAGATGTGATCTGTACTCTTTTATGGATTATCTTTATAGATCAATAAATAAGTTATAAAAAATAATTAAAATATGTTATTAAAAGGAGTGGTAATATGTGAGAGAAGCTAAAAGTGTATTACCTGTTCACGTTGAGGACTGTTTTAAGAAATGATCAGAAGTATTGAACTGTTCAGTGAAGTGTGAAGTCAAGTTAGTTGAGGAATTTGAGGAATTGGATGAGAGTTAAAGTGGAGATGGGGTCCATAGACTCCTTTTTCCCTTGTTTGTCAAATGTAGCCTTGATTTGTTCAGTAAAAAATAATGGAGAGGCTTCATACAGGTTAAAGCAGTGTGGTGTGGCACAGCATGCCTTTAATTCCAGCACTTGGGAGACTGAGAGGCAGGAGGACTGCCGCCTGTTTGAGGCAAGCCTGGGTTACACAGTGAGTTTAAGGCCAGTCTGAACTACATAGTGAGTCCCTGTCTCAAGAGCCACCACCCCACCCCACCCCAGAAAGATTAAACCAGTTTTGTCATTCTGAATTGTGGTATGTTTTAAACTAGAAAACTGTTTATTGAAGTATTTTAGGGTTTAGACTCTAGTGTCATGGACAGAACCTCCAGATTTTGTGATGAGCAAACAATGAATTTAGCATCTGCAACAAAACCAGTCTTGTTTGCAGCATAGCAGACCCATCTTACTTTGCTTAGAAGGATTGGATATGAAATTATGTGCACTTAGAATGGAGAAAAAGGGAAAGTGTTAGAGGACCTGTTCCTGCTGCCACTTGCAGAAAGAAATGCAGACCTGAATATCTGGAGTATGTGAAACTAGTGCATCTCAGCACATAAATATTGCATGAACTCAAAGAACCTAAAAACTAGTATTTGAGAAGTCAAAGGAGATTAGAAAAGTCTCAGTTAGTAGAGAAGTACTGGTTATAGGACTGAAATTAGGAGGAATGCCTTCAGTCCCTTGAAGTATAATTGGAAAGAATCAGACTGTACCCAGATGTTAAAATAGGTACCCTAGGCTGGGATTTTAGGCACATTGAAATAAGAAAAGGGCTGTTTATTAAATAATTATTATCATTATTGCTGCTTATTGACAGTTTATAAAGGGCTTTCATAGTAATAATTCACTTCTTGTATCTGCTATTCTAATCCTGCAAGTTGAAAAAAAAAAATACAGCATTGTATCACAGACTAACCCTGTCTCTGTCTCTAAATTCATTGCTCTTCCACACTAAAATGTTATTACAGTAAAAAGCAGGCGTGATCTCAAAAGTGACATAGGTACCACTTACGAGTGCTGGGCCACAAAAGAACTTAGGTCTTCATAGTGAGTCACACATTTTTTCTTTGGGTCTGATGAACAGAATTCAGAGTTAAAACCTTTCTGCCATTCAGACATTTCAAGCACAAAAGAAGTTACTGGAGAAACAGAACCAAAGGAAAATGGTTTTTGAAAAAATTATCACAAACTGTTTGCATGTAGATCTGTAATCAAATTCTTGTAGAAAAATCTCATAAATTTAGCTAAAAGTAGATGTTTTCATTATAGTAATTGATTTGAGTGCAGTTTTGTTACTTTGAAACTAGATAGTGCACTTTAAATGTACTTCAATTGTAAACTTGAGTTATATCAAATTATTCATCAAAATTGAAACAGTGTTTCCCAGCAGCAGATCATGGAAGCCTGTATAAGCAGTTTGACCTTACCGCTGTTTCCATGACTTTGTAGTTTCTGTGATCTTGGACATGTTGTTTTATCTCTTTAATGTATAGTTTTCTCTTAGAAAATGAAATAACATTACATGCTTAATACATGTAGTTTTCCTACCCTTGTCTTTTCCTACCACTGCTTATTTTTAGAATGTTCTTGTGTCTTATCTCAGACTAAGCCACCTTGAAATTCTGACCTGATCAGTTCTTTTACGTACCTGCACACCCTGTATTGGCTTCTTTTTCTACTCTCATGGCAGTGCTTTTCATGATCTCATCTTACATATTTCGCATTTCTTATCTATTGCATTGTACCAGGTTTAGAAGCTGCTAAGATAAATGAGGTAATCCATGCTTTTGAATAACTTAAGTATTGGGCTTTATATAGATTGATAGGGATCTGTAAGAGGGTAGCAGGTAATTCTTGTTTGGTAAGATTTCATGGGAAATTTGTAGCTGTCATTTTAGTTGGTGTCTAAAAGATCAGTTAGAATTTCTCATGCTTATGCTTACAGTAGAAGTACTGTGGTCAGAAGTTTGAAAACATAAAGATACGGTATCTTCCTAAGAGGGCAGGATAGTAAAGTGGTCATCTATGATTGTCATGTGTGAGACTCCATGCTGAAAAGTAAGGTGGGTGGGTTAAAATATACCAAGTTCTTCCCATGTGTCAGCCTTTGGACATCTTGCGTTCTCTCTGGAATGTCCTTTTTCTGGCTTTTCATGTAGCTAATCAAATCTCAACTCAAACCCTTTCCAAGGTGGATTTCTCTGGCTCCTAAAGTGCCATATGTATTTCCCATCTCTCTTATTCCCCCTTGCTCACCACCATCCTTATTTTAACATGTTTCACAATCTGCTTTGATCAACAGGTTTATGGTTTACTTTCCCCATCAGGATGCTGGCTCCCTGTGGGGCAGGGATCTTGATGTCTTTTTACTTACCATTGAATCCCTAGTACTTGGCATCATTCTTAACACATAGCAGACAGTCAAAGGTTTATTGACATAAATGAGCTAGTAGAGCTTTTTTTTTGTTTTTTTTGGGGGGGGGGAAATAGTAGTAAGATTTGTCTTTTTAACGAAACTGATCTAGGTGGAAAATTGCGCTTTTGGCACTTCTACATGTATGCCTTTGAACAATTATTTTGGTTGTTTTGATAAGTAGACATGAGAATAACATATCTAATCAAGTTACTACAAGGATTATGAGTGCCTCAGTCATAATAAGTACTTTAAGTAACTAATCATGCTTATTTTTTTTAATGAATTAATGTGGGAGTTGATAGATTTTTTTTCTTCTCCCATTATTTATAGTAACTATTTTAGTGTTTTTTTAAAACCCAAACAAATTTTGTATTTAGTTATGGCTTGATAAGTAAGAATGCTGATGAGTGAAACAGTTTGAATAATAACTAAAATATCTTTAATATTTTGTGTGGTATTACATAGGGTTGAACCAAGTTTTAAGTCAACAAGCAAACCAGGAGATTAGTCCTCTGGATAGCATGATTCAGAGACTACAGCAAGAGCAAGACCTGAGACGTTCTGGTGAAGCAGGAGTCGGTAATACCAGTCGTTTAGGTAGAGGTAAGTAGAATTTTATTTTCAAGTGAAAGATTTAAAAATTTGAATAAACTTCCAGCAGTAGAGAAGTGATGGAAGCAAATGATGATTCATCCATAAAGTGAAATACTAAGCTGCCAAAACAATTGTGTTTGCAGAATAGTGACTTAAAGTTTGAAATATGTGTATTCTTCCATATTTTCAGTTGTAAACTTTGCTTTTGTCTTCCTTGTAGTGATTCTTTTTTCCTGTTAAAAATTAATGGAAATGTGTCTCCAAACTGAATTTATCATACTAACTTTTTCCCTTTAGGTTCTGTAAGTTCTGCCTCCGAAGTTCATTCACCACCAAATGTAGGACTAAGGCGTAGTGGACAAATTGAAGGTGTGCGGCAAATGCACAGCAATGCACCTAGAAGTGAAATTGCCACAGAGCGCGATCTTGTGGCTTGGAGTCGAAGGGTGGTAGTACCTGAACTATCAGCTGGTGTGGCCAGGTAAGATTATCTGTATATACTGTAGTTGCTTGGTTTGTTTTGAATTAGTCTTGTCTTTTTAAGACAGGGTCTCACTATGCAGTTCAGGCTGGCCTTGAGCTCACTTTGTAGCCCAGGCTGGTTTCAGACTTGCAACAATCCTCCTGCCTCAGCCTCCCAGGTGCTGGGATTACAGGCGTGCACCACCATGCCTGGCTTGAATTAGTCTTTAAAATACCTTTTCTGGCCTGCAGCTGCTTTTTATCAGAAAACTAGTACTTTTAAGTTGTTCATGAGCCTGTAGAAAAATTAGATTTGTTAATATGTCTTTTTCTGGAATGATTCATGTGACTGGTGAGACGAAATGTGTTAAGGTGAATAGAGGAGAAGTCATGAATTTGAATCAGCCAAATAAGAGAATATATTAAGTAGAAAATGAAATCGTAGTTTGTCCTGTATGTTTGTTAAAACATTCATAAAGTTGTCATTATTTGGGGTTTTTAATAAGTTTTACTAACCATTCACTGTATTACTTAATAATAAGTGAATTGCTGACAAATACTACTTTTAATATCTAAAAATATACATACGTGAATTGAGTATTGATTTGTTATAAACCAATTTCTGTAGTCAGTGTTATGAGTAAACGTTATATTTAGTTTAATTTCATTTTATAATCATGAAGTATTGAAAAATGAGGGTCCATACTATCCTAATATTGGCTTCCATAATGTGGCTAAAAGTATGACAATCAGAAATGTACATTTGATTTAACTTACTTTTTGGTGGTACTGGGGATTGAACCCAAAGGCACTCTTCCACTGAGCTACATTCCCAGCCCTGTTTTATTTTGAGATTGCGTCTTACTAAGTTATACAGGGAGAGCTGGTGATCCTCTTGTCTCGGTCCCCCAAGTCCTGGCATTATAGGCATAATCCACCACACTTGACTTGCAACATTTTTTAATTAGATGTTTGCATGGTTTTTGACTAGGGAAGCAATGCTTAGAATTTATGTTATGATGTAGATACAAATATAAACCTAACGTATAAATTTGAGCAATGACTTTATGATAAGCATGTCTTCATTTATTTGTTTGTTTGTTTGTTGAGACAGGGTCTGGCTATGTAGTTCAGGCTGGCCTTGAACTTACTATGTAGCCCAGGCTGAGCTCAAACTCACAGCAATCCTCTTGCCTCAGTCTCCTGAGTGCTGGGGTTACAAGGACGTACTACCATGCCTGCCTTTATAAAGATATTTTTCAGGGGCTGGGGATTTAGCTCAGTGGCACAGCACCTTCCCGGCAAGCGCAAGGTTGTGAGTTCGATTCCTGCTGCTGGGAAAAAATACATATATCTATTTTTCATAGAATATTTTTAGGTGGGTCTCTGCCCACTTCTTTTTTTTGTTTTTGTTTTTCTCCGGTACCGGGAACCGAACTCACGACCTTGCACTTGCCAGGCAGGCGCTTTTGCCGCTGAGCTAAATCCCCAGCCCTCTGCCCACTTCTTACATGCTAATGTTAAGGCTTAACTAGGGTCGAATAAATAATACTCAGATTTTCAACACCCTTTCTGAGCAAATTGAAGAACAACACAGAGAAGAAAAAGGCATACAAGAAACCAGAATGTTGCTTTTTATTACTGATATAGTTTTGAAGAATGTGACTTTTATTTACATAAAGGGTACTTCTTAATACTAATGCCCAAACACAAATAGCAGTAGTCTACAGTACACTTCCTTGTGTGAGACATCTGTTCTTTAGAATTCTGAGCAGAATGTATACACTGCACTAGGTCATACAAGATTATGCCATCCTCATAGATGGGGGTTTTCTTCTACAGTATACAAATTGGTTGGTTCACTTAATTCCCTGGAGTGTAGTTGCTAGTCGGTTGTGGAAGTTCCTGCACATGGTTCAGAAAACTTGAGTAGGAGGATTTGTCTATCTTTAAATAGTCACCTTTTTGTCTCTTAATTATTGTGTTGAACTCTTTACCCTGTAGTCAAGCAAGGTGGTGGCTATCACTTAACAGGTTGTTCTTACTTAGATCTTCCTAGAGACACCCCACCCAATCCTGGAATAATACTTTTTTCCTCTTTTGAGAATCTTCTGGTTTCAAGGGCTCAGCTATGAGTCAGACTAGCACATAATTCAAACTAAGTTAAAATTAAACTTAGTGGGCTAAAGTCTTTAACATTACAAAGAACTCGTTATACTCAGTAGCAAATAAAACTGATCAGAAAATGAATGAAAACTTGAACAGACATTTCACCAAAGAAAATAGCAAATAAGCACGTGAAAAGATACTTAGCATCATTAGCCATTAGGGAAATGCCAATTAAAACCACAATGAAATATTACAGGCTTTTCACAAATAGCTAAAATAAGAGCACCAAATACTGAGATGAAAAGAAAACTGTATTGCTCATGCATTTTTTGGTAGGAGTATAAAATGGTACAGCCACTCTGGAAAACAGTTCGGTACTTTATTTAAAAACCTAAATATGCAGCTGCTGTATCATCTTAGCAGTTGTACTCTTGGAAATTTATCTCAAAAAAATAGAAATTCTTGTTTATACAAGAACTTGTACTACACAAATACATAGTAACTTTATTTGTACCAGCTGAAAGGGAGGGGGCAGATGTTTCTCCTGGGGAAAATGAAAATTTAAAGATCAAGTACCCTTACCAGCTCAAAAACTTTGAAGTTGTAAGAAATTAAAGTAAAAAATTGTGCTTGGGAGTTTGGGTTTTGTGAAATTAAAGGTCTAAGTTATAGGTCTAATATTTCTCAGCTGTTCTCCTGTTACTGAGTTTCATCCTGAAGCTTGCAGAGATAGCATATCGTTTCAGTAGGTGAAGCATAACCTATCTTATAGGAAAGAATGTAGTTCATAGAATTTCAGGAGTTGTATTGACTTTAAAAAGGATTCTAGGCTGGGGATGTAGCTCAGTGGCATAGTGCCTGCCTAAAAAAGGTTCTAGCTGTATAGCACTCCCCAGTATATTCCTGAGAGAAATATACTATAGAGATACCTCAATACCCATGTTTATTGTAGCATAATTTATAATAGCTAAGCAATTATGAACCTGCATGTCCATTAACAGATGAATGAATAAAGAAAATGTGGTATGTACACACAATGGAATATTACTCAGACATAAAGAAGAAGAAAATCATGTCATTCTGGAGACCATCATGTTAAGTGGAATAAGCGAGACTCAGAAAGTCAAATGTTGTATGTTCTTTCTCATATAATGGATCTAAGGGGAAAGAGTGAATGTAGAGAGAGATTACTAGAAGAGAGGAAAGGACAGATGGAGAGAGATAATAGGAGGAATGATCAAAATATGTTGTGTGCTTGTACACACATGTCAAAATGAAACCCACTATTCCATATAACTGCCGTGCACTACTTTAAAACATTCCAGCTAGGGGGCTGGGGATTTAGCTCAGCGGCAAAAGCGCCTGCCTGGCAAGCGCAGGGTCGTGAGTTCGGTTCCCGGTACCGGAGAAAAACCAAAAAAAAAAAAAAAAAAAGGAAAAAAAAAAAAAAACATTCCAGCTATCTCCATGGCACATGAGACTGTCAAGGCACAGACCCCTGTACTTAATTTTAAAAAACACAAATTCAAGTTTCTAACCCTTAGAGCAGTTACTCTAGGAATAACTGTGTTGCCAGTATTTACAACTTTATTTGCCAAAGACCCATTGCAAAACAGTAATTCCACCTAGACAAAAATCTATCTTATCAGTACTCTGGTCATTTAATGCTTGATATCCTGAGCTCAGTACCTAAGAATCTAAACTCAGATTATCTGAGTAACATGCTTCCATCTGGAAAGAAAGCAATAGGATTAGCATTCCTTCCGTGAAACCTAAGGGTCCCTTTTGGCGGGTGGAACTGGTTATAAAATTCTAGATTAAGATGTATGGCATTTAATCTTCCAGTAGGCAAGAAGAATGGAGAACTGCGAAAGGAGAAGAAGAAGTAAAGACTTACAGGTCAGAAGAGAAAAGGAAACATTTAATGGTTGCAAAAGAGAGTAAAATACTTAATGTCTCAAAGGTAAATATTAATTACGGAGATATTTAATATTGTTGTGTTAAGCATAATGACCATTTTAAAGCCCTGTTTTAAAAATGTTATGACTTTAAGTGGGATAATTAATGAAACAGAATTTATGGTAACTCTTGTTTATTTCTTTAGATTTTGTGTTATAATTTAAAACTTTTAGTAAATTCCCTGACTTCTGGCATATAGTATATCCTTTCCCCAAAGGACAACTCTTATATATTCATTAAACATAATAAATTACAGTTCATTTAAATGAGCTTTCTTTAGTTTTGTGCTTGGTTTCACACTTTGAAATAATGTCTTTTTTTTCAACCTATTCTTGTGCTATTTTGCATTTAGTATTATAGCTAATCAGGTCAGCCAGTATACATATGTATAATAGTTCTTATTTCTTCAATTAGTAATGTAGATTATCCCTATCAGTTTTGTCCTGCTGGTTTTTCTGTCATCCTACTCTTGCAGAACAAAATGCCCTCATCAGAGAGAGAGAGAAATGTACTTACTTTCCTAATTGTCAAGGAATCACAAATACATAACCGTCCATCCATATTTTCTTTTCCCCTTTAGTAGCTTCAGAGTTGTAAGAGACTGAAGTTGAGGGAAACTATTAAACTCTTTTTGTGGTCCTAAGCAGTGATCTAAACAGCAACAACATGACTGGATTTCAGACCTCTCTGTGCTTAAACAAATCAGAAATAGATTTGTTTCTGATGCAGAAACTTTGGTAGGTAGTCTAGGCCTAGCATATGTTCAGTGTCAAAAACTAAAACTTTATTTTTCCCATGCACCTTGATTCAACTTCATGCCTTTTTAAGAGCAGCATTCTCATTTAAGGATAGACGATCAGAGAAGAAAGTGCAAAGGACACACACACTTTCCTGAAGATGTTGGATATTGCTCCGTAACATTGTGTCAGATTTCCCATTGGGCAAAATGTAGTCCTGCGAAACTCAAATAAGGCAAATTTTAAAGGAAAGGAGGACATACGTTGGCTCACAACTGATTTTCCTCTTTACTGCATCAGGACACTTGAAATGTTTATGTTTCTTGATTTTGGAATTTATCTTATGGAAGTATTGTCAGAGCTTTTTAAAATGTAAGCAGTAGTAACTTGTAATGACACTGATTTGAGTAGATAGAAATGTTTTATGTTAAGTAAAAGAGACAAGATACTTTTCCAGTGTATTAGTCAAAGTTCATGACCTAGGTGAACATTGTTTCCTTTTTTATACTTTGCATATTTACCAATAATTACAAATTTATAAAACCCTTTGGTGATTCTTTTAGAAAGGATTATTGAGCAAATCATGTCCTTATATGTATACATTTATTTCTCTCTCAGCAGTATGGATATAATCATAGGTTCAAACTTACCTTCTGTCATCAATCTAAAAGTAGTGTTCATTTTTCTTACTGTGTGATAAGTAAATCTGTGGTAAGCAAAGGAACATTACTGTTTCTTTGATGCTAATTATTAGCCCTTTGTATTCTTAACTGTCACTATGATTTATCTAAAATGTAGGTTTCTTTATAGCCGTGAAAGTTTCTTTTTCACATTTATTTTTGTTTAAAGTTTGGGATTATTTCATCTTTCAGCTCAATAGTACACATTTGAATTTATATGGTCAACCAGTTGTCTTTTTTCATCACATTTAAAGTCCTTTTTTATTTCAAGAATCTCTAATTGATTCTTTTTCAGAATTATATGATTTTTCTATGACAGGGTCTCAAAATTCATGAATGTCTTCTCTTACTTGCTTTTATGATTGCTTTAATTTTTCAAATGTACATTGTGTTGTGAGTTTGCCTCTGTCTCTTGGATTTTTGTTAATTTTTTGACGGTTATCCTGCTGCAAAAGATGTCTCAGATTTATCTCCAGCAGAAGAAAGTGGCAGAATAGCTGTCACTTTGCCTTGGCTCATTTTGCTCTTTCTTGTATCATTTCTGTAGATTGCGTTTGGTACAGAAGAATAAAAGCTAGCTATGTATAAATTTAATTTTTTCCAGAATCATGCTCATGAGCATTTACTGGATCTTGGAGAACCCAAAAAGCAACAAGCAAATCAACACAGCTATCGTACAAGATCTGCATTGGAAGAGACGCTTAGACCCTTGGAGGAGATAGAAAATGGCACTAGTTCTTCAGATGTAAGATTTCAGCACATTAAATTTCTGTATCTATTTTTAAAAATATAATACCCATTCTTTGTAGTCATTGATATAAATGTAACTCAGAGGTCCTATTTTTCATCTTACAATGATGTTGATGGTTTCCATTTTCTAAGAATCTACTTGTAGGCATGGCAGTGTATGTTCATTATCTCAAATCTACAAAACAGTTATTCTCATTTTACCTGTAAGGGTTCTGGGATTCAAATACGTTCAGAATACATGTCCATCTAACTATTAAATGGTGGAGCAAGGATTAAGTGTAAGTTCCTTTTACTTTAAAGCCAAGTTTTTAAAATGGTAACATGATGCCCTGGTGTAGTATATGTATTACAGCTAGTCAATAGGCATTTCACAATTTTGGTTAGATTTTTATCTCATTACCAACTTGTAGCTTTTTCAGTGTAATGCTTTGATACTCTTCATGCATAATTATTTCTGTATATCCCTAATAAAACATTCCTGTAGCAAAGGTGATCAGTTTACAATCACAGATCATTCCTGTGCAACAGTTAAAGTCATCTTCTTTCCTCTCTTATTCCACTCGCATCACTTTGCTATAGTCCAGCAGTCAGGATGCGGAGGTGAAAAGATAATTTGTGCTTAGGAATTCAAGAGCAGCCTGAGCAAAATAATAAGATCCCCATCTCCAAAAAAACTTTTGAAAACTTAGAAGAATAAAATTTAGTCTCTCCCAGTGAAATATGTTCATTCTGGTGAGAAAACAAAGTAAAGCAATTATTGTGGCAAATACCTCTAATCCCAGTGCTCTAGGAAGTTGAAGCAGGAGGATTACAGGTTTTGAGCCTGTCTAATCAGGTTAGTGAAATTCTGTCTCAAAATACTTTAAAAAAGGAAAAAAAAGTAGGCTTGGGCTATGACTTAACATGAAGGCCCAGAGTTTAATCTCCAGTACTTGGGAGGAAAAAAGATCAAATACACTAATTACCATAAAACTCATAGGTGACAGTTTGGTGTTTTCTGTTATTTTTTGAGACAGGGTTTCACTATGTGCCAGGTTGGTTTCAAAGTCCTAGACTCAAGTAATCCTGTTGCTTCAGCCCCTCAAATAACTAGAACTTAAAGGTATATGCATCACCATGCTCAGCCAGTAATGGCGTGGATAGGCACACAGAACAAATACATGAAACTAATTTTTTGCCTTCTAAAATCTTTACTTTCGAAAGATTTAAAGTATGATACTTATTAAAAACTTACTGTTTAAATATGTTGAGTTTAGGGGGCTGGGGATTTAGCTCAGCGGCAAAAGTGCCTGCCTGGCAAGCGCAAGGTCGTGAGTTCGGTTCCCGGTACCGGAGAAAAACAAAAACAAAAACAAACAAAAAAAAAAAATGTTGAGTTTATTAGGAACTTACATGTATTTCCAAGATGACATTTATTAAATGAAGAAAAGGTCACTAAATTCTTTGTCTTCAGATTTTAGCTTATGCTTTAATATGCTTTTAGAGCAGTTGAATACATTTCTGTAGGAGTACATTGAGAATAGAATCACAATATGTTAGACACTAACATACTAGTTAATGGCAAAATATGTTGGATTTTTAGATTTAAGTATTTTTTTACTTCAGTATTTTGTATTTAGAATGTTAGAAGTAATTAATTCTGTTTCTTTGCTTTCCCTTTAAAAAAGTAACATAAAATAGCAAAGCAATCATAATTTGTTGTGGTTTCATTTGTTTTGAGTAAAGTTTAAATTGGCTAAATAAAATATTCTCTAATGGATTCTGATCTTTTCATATTTGCTTAGTTTTCAAAATTCTTTGGAATAGTTACAAAATTCATGTCTTCTTTTTTTTTTTTTTTAACATCCTTCTTTACAACATCAAAATGAGACTTTTCCCCCAAGCTGTATTATTCTGTTATTGTATTCTATTTAAGTTGCAAAGGAATATATTTCATTATCTCTTAGGGAGTCTTCTAAATGAACCACAGTGGAAAGTCATCAGTCATTTGCAGTAAAATAACCTGGATTGTTGTTAAGTCCTGTTGCTTATTAACTGTGCTGCCTCAGACAAATTTCAGAATCATAATTATTTTAAGCTTTCTTTTGTAGTAGTAACTTTTCCTTGTCACTGTATTTTATAGACACCAAATGGAGTAGTACTACATATATAAACTACTTAGAAAGTTTCTGGTTTTGTTAAACGTGTAGTAAACAGGAGGGACTATAATTATTGCACAAGAAATTATGTGAGATTTTGTATTTTAAAAAAAGGAACGCAGCTGGGCATGGTGGTCCATGCCTGCAATCACAGCACTCTCAGAGGCTCAGGCATTAGGATTTCAGGTTCATGCCCAGGCCAGGCAATTTACCTATTTAGGAAGACCCTGACTCAAAAAAAGGCTGAGGTTGTAAGTTAATGTAAAGGCTTTGAGTTCAATTCTTAGTGCAAGAAAAAAGCAGTAGCCTGAGAGAGTCTGAATGCAGTATTAATAAGTGGTATGCCTTTATATACGTACATTTCTCACTTTTTTGAAGAAAACTTAAAGCTGTACTTTACAACTAATTGAAATCCTATTTTATTTTAAATATCCCTAAATGATTGGTATTTCATCAATGTGTTCTGCAGTCATAAGATCACACAAAATATGTCCTATCATTTAGGAAGGCGAGGTAGTTGCTGTCAGTGGTGGGACATCGGAAGAGGAGGAGAGAGCATGGCACAGTGACGGCAGCTCTAGGTAAGTGGCTGCATTTTTATTTTTCTGAGTGCTGTATAAATCTTTACAAAACTTAACTTTCGGGTTTTTAGTTTTTTACTGGCAACACATTTCAGAACCTCTTTGCTTTTAAAGTTCTTCAGAGATTTAGTTGTCCATAACTTTATGACATTTTCTCCTTTTTCTGTCAAACCATCTCCACAGAAAATAATTTTGGCTGTATCTACCAACTTGGAATTATATCTTCTGAATGCTGTTACTTAATACTGAACTATAAAGCAGTTTCATTACCGTTTAAGTATCAAATAATGAAATTAATGAGATCTTACAAAATTAACTATCTCATAAAATTGAATTTATAGTATTGAAAATATTCTCTTCCAGCAATGGGATAATGGGATTAAGCTTTCCTTTTTTTCTATTTTTCCCATCCATTTGACCATTGCAAATGAAGATTTCTTAACTCCTTATGTTGGAGATTGACATTGTTAAATGATGACTGTGGCTGGCCTTCCATGGTCTTAGTAGCCAGAAGAAATGTAGCATTTGGGGGTGATAATTATTATTAGCTTCTTACACTTATTCTACCCTTCACTGGGTTTATGGTAGAGGTACCAAAGAGAGGATTAAGTGTGGAGTCTATCAGAATTCCTTGTATTAGTTCTAGAATCAAGATCCTTTCTGATTCCATGGTAGTAATTCTTGGTAATGGTATGCAAGTGCCTGTGGTTATACCTAGTAGTGTTTTCTGTGTTTAAGACAGGCAGGGCAATGAAAAGGAAAAAATCACTTACTTCTGGCTCAGTGGAGATATAGAGTATCTCAAACCGTGTGATGGTGCAGCAGTTCCTGAGTTGAGAGCCAGTTGATGGCCTTAGCAGTTGAGGACATTTGTTGTGAAGAAATTGGGCTCTGGAGTTTATTGAACTGGCAGCAGATCTTAAGATCTAAGTAATCCAGAGAGTGGCAGTTGTGGTATGGCAGGTGCCATTTGCAATTTTTTTGGGCTAGGGTTTGTGTAAATAAAATGCTCACAAGTTGAAGAGAGCTATGCTAGAGTAGAATACCTAGAAAGATTTTTGTAAAATTTTAAAAATCATTTTAAATTTCATAATAAAATCATTGTGGAAATCACTTTACTTCCTTGGTTCTTATCTATAGTGATTCTTCTTGGAAAGATTCAGGTTAATGCCTGTATGGAACATTTGAACTGGGAGAGGGGCAGTGGTGGTATAATAAAACTGCAGAAAAATATCTGTTTCATCAGTGTTCATGTTAGCACTATTTTTAGAGGTTCTACATCACTAAATTATTACTGATTTTTTTATAGTATAATTTAGATCCCTGTAAGGCATTTGTATTTGTGAAACTATGCAAAGTAAGTAACATAACTGGATTCTTTATTTTGGCATGTCAGTTAAGTGAGACACTTCTATGCAGGTGAACTGAAAAGAAATGGCGAACATGACTGGTAGGCACATAAAGTAGTAAGGACTGTTTTTCTGAATTGTGGCATGTTTTAAATCATATATCTAAGAGGTAGGTAGGTGAATAATTTTACCTAAAATTTCTCCTTTACACTATAAGTGAAGCTTATAAACACAACCTTTCCACTAAGGAGGCACACTTCTGACCCTGCCAGTTCAGTATGTGGTTTCTAAGAGAATGCCAGTAATGTATCATTGGCTAGAAATTCAGCTTCCTGCAAGAAAAGAAATCCATTTGTCTCCTTAATTTGATACCTGCCATGTCCTTTACGATATTTTTCTATTGTCAGATAGGAAGAAGGGTGACACCCCTATTCCTTATGTTTATATGCCCAAAAATATTTTTGATTCGAGCAAAACATAGAAATCAATATTTTCCTTCTGCAGATTGCTGAAGGTATTTTCACCCAAAGCTATGACCTTATTTTATCTTCAGTTTTTTTTGAGATACTTAAAATATACACAATTTTAAGAAACTTTCAAAAATGAGTAGAAAATATTTTTTAAGTATGTATTGTTCTGTTATTTCCCTTTATCACTTATAATCTTTCCCATTTTATAAAACTAAGTCTTAAAATATATCCTATGTGTGCATTTTAAAACCCCTTCTCTCTTTCTAGTGACTACTCCAGCGATTACTCTGACTGGACAGCAGATGCAGGAATTAATTTGCAGCCACCAAAGAAAATTCCTAAGCATAAAACCAAGAAAGCAGAAAGCAGTTCAGATGAAGAAGAAGAATCTGAAAAACAGAAGCAGAAACATGTTAAAAAGGAAAGGAAAAAAGTTCATGAAGAAAGAGATGGACCAACATCACCAAAGAAAAAGAAACCCAAAGAAAGAAAACAAAAGGTTGGGGGTTTTTTTTTGTTTAATTTTATTTTAAAGAGAGTAGTAAAAGAAAAAAAAAATAGCAGCATACCGACATCACAAACATAAAACAAAGCAAGAACTTTAAAAGTGATGCAGAGTTTCAAAACAAAATGATAGGAACTAACAGTAGTTGTTTTATTACATGTTGTTACCTTCAACTACGTTGCTCAGATTACCAGATGTAAGAATGGAAGATTATTCAAACCATTAAAGAAAATAAAAGAATACACCTTTGTCTGAAGGGCAGTTGGCTAAAATCTTAGCCCAGTTTGTGGGTTTTCTTTTTACTCGGTTGGTGATTTCTTTTGATGTGCAAAAACCTTTAAATAAGGTGAGATCCTAGTTGTTGAATCTTGAAGTATTTCCTGTACAGTTTGGTTTTTGCTCATGAACTCTCTGCTTACTCCAGTATCTTCAAGATTTTTACCTACTTTCTCTTCCAATAAATTTAGTGTTTCTGTTTTAATATTTAGATCTTTGATCAGTGTTAACTTTCGTGCATGGTGAAACACATGGGTCTAGTTTTAGTCTTGGGCATGTGGAAAGCCAGTTTTTCCAGCAGCAGAGGCTTTCTTCCATTGTACATGTTTGACCCCTTTATCAAAGATAAGGTGGCTCAGTGTGTTTGTAGTTGTGTTTCGATCTTCAGGTCTTGTTTTTTGCTATTGCCATGCTGATTTTATCCCAGTAGCTTTGTAGTATAATTTCAAGTCAGGAATTGTGATGCCTCCTGACTTTCCTTTGAGGCTGAGGATTGTTTTTGCTATTCTAGGCCTCTTCTGGTTCCAGATAAACTTTAGGAATGTTTTTCTCTAGATCTGTGAAGTGTATCAATGGTATTTTAATTGAGATTGCATTGAAACTGTACAGTAATTTTGGGAGTATGGCCATTTTCACAATGTTAGTTCTTCCTATCTGTGAGCATGGAATATCTTTCCATTTTCTGATATCCTCTTTGATCTCTTTTTTTCAGAGTACTGTAATTTTCACTGTATAGACCTTTTACTGTTGTTAGATTGATTCCTAAGTATTTCATCTTTCTGGATGCTATTGTGAAAGGTGTGGTTTCCCTAATTTCTCTGTCAGTGTGTTTGTTGTTTATGTACAGGAATGCTATTGATTTTTAAGTCTTGACTTTCTATCCAGCTATGCTACTGAATTTGGTTCTTAAGTCTATAAGCTTTTTGGTGCAGCTTTGGTGGTTTTCTGTGTAGAGTATCATGTCATCTGCAAATCATGATAATTTGACTTCTTCCTTTCCTATCCTTACTCCTTTTATTTCTCTCTCTTGTCTAATTGTTTTAGCTAATATTGCCAGAACTGTGTTGAATAGGAGTGGTGATAGTAGACATCCTTGTTTTGTTCCTGATAGTAAAATGAAAGCATTCAATTTTTGACCATTTAATGTGATGTTAGCTGTTGCTTTGTCATAGATGGCTTTGATGAGATTGAGGTAAAGACCATCTATTCCTATTTTCTATAGGGTTTTTATCATGAATGAATGTTTGACTTTATCAAAGGCTTTTTTTGCATCTATGGAGATGATCATGTAATTTTTGACTTTGGTTCTATAGATAATGGTGTATTACATTAATTGATTTGCATATATTGAACCGTCCCTGCATTCCTGAGATGAATCCTTCTTGGTCATGGTGTATAATCTTGTTGATGATTTATTATATTCTGTTTGCTAGTATTTTTTTGAGAATTTTTGCATCTATATTCATTAGGGAGATTGGTCTGTAGTTCTCTTTCTTGGTTGAGTCTTTCTCTGGTTTTGGTATCAGGATAATACTTGTGTCCAGGAAGGAGTTGGGGAGAATTATCTTCATTCTGCTTTGGTAATTCATATGTTTTTAGAAATCTTTCTATTTCCTCAGTATTTTCTATCCTATGAGAGTAAATATTTTCAAAAATAGGTGTTGATGATCTTCTGAATTTCTACAGGATCTGTAGTGATTTTGCCCCTTCATTCCTTATTGCATGTATTTCAGTTTTTTCTCCTTTTTTTTGATAAGGTTGGCTAGGGTTTATCTATCTATTTTTTCCAAGAATCAACTCTTAGATTCATTAGTTCTTTGTATATTTTTTCATCTCCATTGCATTAATTTCTACCCTGAGCTTTATAATTTCCTGTTCTTTGGTCTTTGGGTTTGGCTTGTCTTTTTGTAGAAGCTTGAGATGCAGCATAAAATTGTTTATTTGTGCCCATTCTGTTTTCCTGAGGTGGGAATTCACCGCTATAAATTTCCCTCTGAGCACTGCTTTCATTGCGTCCCACAGGTTCCTGTAAGTTGTATCTACATTTTTGATTGTAAATAGTGTTTAATTTCTTCTTTAATTTTATCTGTGACCCATTGGTTTGTCAGGAGGATGTTATTTAATTTCCATGTCTTCATGGAGTTTTTGCGATTTCTTTTGCCATTAATTTCCAGTTTCATTGTATTATAGTCCAGTAGTACACATGGGACAACTTCAGTTCTTTTGCATTTACTTAAGCATGTTCTGTGTGCTAGCAGATGGTCTATTTTAGAGAGCATTCCATGTGCAGCTGAGAAGAATGTGTATTCTGATGCTGTTGAATGGAGCACTCTGTAAAGGTGCACTAAGTCCTTTTGTTCGCAGTTTTGGTTAAGTTCTATTATTTCTTTGCTGAATTTTTGTCTCGTTGATCTATCTCTTTGTGACAGTGGGGTGTGAAGTTCTGCTATATGCTGGGTGTGGTGGTGCACGCCTATAAGCCTAGCACTCAGGAGGCTGAGGCAGGAGGATCGTTGTGAGTTCGAGACCAGCCTGAGCTACAAAGTGAACTCAAGGCCAGCCTGAACTGCATAGTGAGACCCTGTCTCAAAAAGACCAAAGAGAAAAAAAAAAAGTTCTCCTGTTATGATTGTGTTGCTGCTTATTTCATTTTTCATGTCCGTTAAAATTTGTCTTATGTAGTTGGATGCCTCTGTATTTGGTGCATAGATGTTTATAATCATTATCTCTTCCTCTTGAAGTTTTCCACTCACAAGTATGTAGTGACCTTTCTCTCTTTTGATTATTCTTGGTTTGAAGTTCACGTTGTCTGCAAACAGAATAGCTACACCCGCTTTTTTCTGGGTTCCTGTCACATGGAGTATTGTTTTCCATCCTTTAATTTTCAGTCTATGAATTTCCTTTTGAGTTAAAATGTGTTTCTTGTATACAGCATATAGTTGGGTTTTGTTTCTTAATCCACTCTGCTAGTCTGCTTCTTTTGGTTGGTGCATTGAGACCCTTTACATTGATGGTTATAACTGATAGATATTGGCTTCTCTTTGTCATGTTGTTTTCCTTGTTGGTTCCTCTTGTTTCCCTCTGTTTAATTGCTGGCTTTGCTTGGTGATTCCTTTCTGTTGTTCCTGAAGTTTTGGTCTGTTCTATATCTTCCTAGAATATCTTTTAGTACTCTTTGTAGCATTGGTTTGGCACTCATGAATTTGTTCATTTGTTCCTTTTCATGGAAATATTTTATTTCTCCATGAAATTTCAAGGGTAGTTTTGTAGGGTACATCAGTCTGGGTTGGAAGTTGTTTTCTTTCAGTACCTGAAATACTTCATTCTAAGTTCTTCTTGACTTGTATGGTTTGTGTTAAGAAATCTTCCATGATTCTGTTGGGCTTTCCTTTATAGGTGATCTGTTTCTTTTCTTCTAACAGGTTTTAATTATCGGATCTTTGTTGAGTTTCTGCAATCTTGATCACTATATATCTGTGTTTAGATATATTTTGGTTATGATTAATTGGAATTTTATATGCTTCACTTACTGTAGGTCAGATTTTTTTTCCATGCCTGGGAAATTTTCTACTATTATTTCTGCAAATAGTCTTTTTATGACATTTGTGTTGACACCTGCTGTTTCGTTGATACCTATTAATCTTACATTGTTTTTCTTCGCTTCTTGATGCAGTTGTTGAATTGTTATTTCCTGCGTCCTTGTTTTTAAGAGGTCCTTTCTTTCATGTTATTTAGTGGCAGTGCTGTCTTCAAGATCTGAAAGTCTATCTTCAGCTTTGTTAAGGCGGTTTTGCCAGCTTTCAGTGGAATTTTTACTTTCCTGGATATCTGTTTGAATCTGTTTCGTGCATTCTAGTTCCTTTGTATATTCTTCACCCACAGTTTCCTTGAGTTGTCTGTGGTCCTCTCTTTTCTTGTGAATGTCTTCTTTGGATAGGCTGAACAATTCTTTTATTTTTGTTGTCATTTCTTTCTTTACCTAACATATTATTTCTGATCTGATGTCTTCTATGGCCTGATGGAGTTGTTTTTTTACTTCAGTTGCTATCATTTCAGAAATTTCAGGTGTATGACTTCCAGGCTTTTCTGTGTTGATGTCTCCTGGACTTGTTCTGGTTGGTGTGGAGGTCTGAGATTGCATTTTGCTCCTTCCTTTTGTCATTTTCAAAGATGCAGAGGTTCCCTGCAGCTCAGCTTACTCCCAGGATTGTGTGAGAGTGGCAGGGTCAGGGTCTGAAGATCCTCAGTGTTCAGCGTGGCTCCTGTGCTGGTGTGTGTGGCAAGGTGGGGCCCCAGATGCTCACGAGACTTTCTTGAACTCAGTTGGCTCCCCAGGCCATTGGGATTGGATTGGGGAAGTTCACTGGAGTTCTTGAAGCTGTCTGGGGTTCAGCCTGGGTTCCACAAGGGTGGGGGGATGCAGATCATGGTCACCAAGGCTTCACATGTTGCCTAGAACTCAGCCCACTTCCCATACAGGCAGGGGCGGGACGCAGTTGAAGTCCCTGAAGCTGCTGACCCTGTCCTGGTTTCACCTGGGATCCCATGGGGGTTCAGGTTGTGCTGGGAGTGAATCCTGAGGTCCTAGAAGGTGACCAGGGCTTCTCCTGCCTCACACGCTGGTCAGGGAGGCGCAAAGTTGGCTTACTGGGGTTCCTGAAGATGTCCAGGGTTCAGTCCAGCAACCACAGTCTCACTAGGGTTGGGGGCAGTGGCGACCAAGGCCCCAGAAGATGAGAAAACTTGTCGTACCTGATGGCAAAGCAGCTATGAGTCTATATTGGGTAACATAGGCTTGTTATAACACAGGTCCTCTTTGTAAATTTACATAGTATGTGAGCCGGAATTTTTCATTTGTTGGGTCCATAAATAGTATTGCTTGATTATGCCATGTTAAGTCTCTGGGTAATTTGAGAGTAAACAAGTATTAGTAAAGAAGTAAAAATTACAGAAAGATTAATCAGCTCTTACAAAATTGAAATTTTTTAAATAGGGATTAAAATATGAGATGTTTTATTTTTACTGTAAAGTACATGCAATATGAGGGACATATTTTCTGCTCTCTAAAATACTACAATGAGACTCATGTTTTGTCTTAAAAAACAGAAGGCAAATAACATTTTTAGAATGTCACCTTTGCCGACAGTTTTTTATTTTCTATTTTGTTAGTGCTGGTAAAGGTAGTCTGAGCCATTTTTATATAGTAAACAGATTAAAGAAAACTGATTTAGCCATATATCTAGCCTATAAGGTAAATAATCTTTTTTATCTCAAGAAATTTCCAATGAATTTTAGAGATTTGCCAGTGGTAAAGTCACTTGGAGAATATAATTCTTTGGTCCCAAGAGTATAAGTTGTTTCACCTGAGCCCTGTTGTTCAGTGATATCAGAAACAAATACTATACCATGGGTTCCTTCATGAAGTGGTACATTTTAGACTGCTGTTAACAGTTCAGCATATTTAAATTTCTCTTTCACTGTGCAACTGACTTTAATAATGTTAGGATGCTATGGGCTGTATCTTTAAATTTAAATTACATTTATGTGCCTTTATGTGGATCTAACAGGTAGAATTGTTATTTAATCTTTAGGGTATATCAACACAGTATTTCCTTTCCTAAGTGTAGAATTGGAAAGCAACTGAAAGATCTTTAAGTGATTAATCATATTGCATATGTGGGAAAAAAATGAGTATCTTTTCCATGTGACTTACTCTTTTTTTAAAGGCAGATATAGAAAATGCCAAGTAAAAGAATTCTTCAGAGATTCTGGGAACTTCTCTTACATGTAGATAACATGTCATAGGAGTTCTGGATATGAAGTCAGCAAATATTTATCAGGTGCTTACCATTTATGGGGTAATATAGTAATATGAGATACAGTGTTTATCTTAAAGTGATGCTTCAGTGTCCCAAAATAAAAACAGAGAAAATGTCTCAGGAGCATGTGCATCCACTCTCTTCTCATCTCTATCCTTTTTTATGCCAAACCACCTGAGATTATTATTCCTTGTTTTCTCTTCCATTCAACATCAATCCTTTCAAAAAAATCACTGTGCCTCCACATTCTAAATATATTTGAAACTTGGCTCTTTTTGCTACTTGTGCTGCTCTTATGTGGTGTGGCTAACATGAACTCTCACTTTAATACTGTAGTCACTTCTGATTTGTTCTTCTTCCCATCCATTGCTAGTGTCTAGTCTATAAAACAGAAATTGATGACCCTTTTCTGTACAGTGCTGGCTACTCTATTCCTGTAATCTGAAAGCAGCTGTAGACAGGGTAGAAATGGGTGGGTGTGGCTGTGTTTTGATAAAAAGGTGGTTTATAAATACCAGTCAGCAACCTGAACCCTGGACTGTGGACCATGATTTGCCAATTTATGTTCAGATGTATCTGTAATTATCCTCGTAAGATATAAGTCAGTTCATACCACTCTCTTCCTAAAATTCTCCAATAAACTCATCTCCCATATAGGAGGTACCAGTTTTTTACTTGTCCCTCGTTCTCCAAGGAGACAGTACTCCTGATGTGTTTGAGAAACAGAACAGTGTGGGTTATTAGGAACAAGAGAAGTGTGTATTTAGGGAAGAAACTGTGGAAGTAATTGCTGCAGTGCCACAAACCTAGTGTTCTAGCTACTTAGAATGCTGAGACCAGGAGGGAGGATTGCAAGTTCAAGGTTAGACTGGGCAGCAGCATGAAATAAAACAAATGTCCTACTGAAAGTAGTGTTCTCTGATAATCACAGTATGGCATCATTTCTTCTTTTAATAAATTTATATTAACTGTTAGTGGTAACTGCTATGTTTTAAAATGCAACAATAAAATTTAGAAGCCATAGTGTACAAACATTAAATCACAACATTTTTAAACAGTTGCATAAAGTTTCGCTACATATAAGTAGTATTAGATATTAAAGTCTTTTAGTCAGTTTTTCCTAAATTTGAGATAACTATAAAGACCATTGTGGGTGAATAGCAAAGTTTAAGTGTTTCTGAGAGGCATAGCTTTGTTTTTATCCTTGAGATAAGGGAGCTGGCTTTACAACTTTGCGTTTGAAATAAAAACCAGATTTGGGCGGGGGGCGGGGGGAGCGGCTTTAAATGAGCCAGGAGTAATGAAATGGGGAGTTACAAGGGGAGAAAAGCATTCTCAGACTATTTACAAGCATGGAAATAATTAACCTACTATTTCCTATAGTACCACCTAACCATATGAGAATATCTTACTCAGTTCTTACTAACCCACTAAGAATGTGATTAAAAACTTAGGTATGTCTTGATTTGTTATCTGGAGTGTTGATTATATCAGTAGTACTCTGAAGGAGGAGGAAGTTCCCCTGGATTATACTTCAGGTGCTGTGATGATACGTCTTACAGACTTTTGTCAATGTTTGTTGACATGGTTTTTCTTGTTCTCTTTTTATCATTGATTTGGAGAAATTGAGTGTCTCTGTTGCCACCACTGTTTTTTTTCCCCAAGATTTTTTAATGCTAAAGAATAAAAGTTTCATAGAGATCCTTCGCAAAACACTTTTTTCTGTGTCTGTTTCGTGTTTTTATGGTAATACTACTTGATGATATTCCAAACTTTCTTAGAGATTGGCTGTGGGAGAACTCACTGGCAATGGTCTGACACTAGAAGAATGGCTGCCTTCAACATGGATCACAGACACCCTTCCCCGCAGATGTCCATTCGTACCACAGATGGGGGATGAGGTGTGTACACTTTTTATATAGTTAATAACCGTGAACATTTTTTATAGCTACTGAAACTCAGCTCTAGAAGAGTGCAGCAAGTTCATAGAAGTGTCTCATTCTCAGCATTCCTAAGTGAATAGTTAAGACAGTCAGGAAAAACCTAATAGTAGTCTTTTTTAAGACTACTGTAAATATTTGCAGTAATTTAAATATTGTAAGAAAGGACATATTGTTGGCACTTTTAAAAACTGGCATTTATTTTTAATAAGATTTTATTGCTTTTTCTTTCTAATTTAAAATATATTTTATCTGTTTAAGGATTAGAAAATATGGTGGGTCAAAGAATGAATATTTTCATTTAACTTTATTTCAAACAATGTTAATTAATTTACATATTCATAATTAGTTTCCCCTAAAGATCTATAATGTTAGAATAGGAAGTTTGGATGGGAATAGGGTGAGGAGCCAGGAAACAAACCCAGGACTTCCCATCTGCTAGGCAAGCACTCTACTGCTGAGATATAGTCCTGGCACATACAGTGTTTGATTTTTAAGAAGTTTTCCACATATGTATGAACCACTTGCCTAAAAAGATTAAGAACAAAAGTTAGTATTGGAATTTCTGTAGCTCAAAGGTCATTGGATTTTCTCTGAAAGATTAGCTGATAGCCTGTGGCTTAGAAACACATCCAAGGGGCTGGGGATATAGCTCAGTGGCGTAAGCACCTACCTGGCAAGCACAAGGTTCTGAGTTGGATTCCTGGTACCAAAAATAAAAAAAGGACCAAAGAAAAGAAACACCTCCAGATTTTAAAATTGTGACTTTACTTATTTTTTAGGTTTATTATTTCCGACAAGGACATGAAGCATATGTTGAAATGGCCCGGAAAAATAAAATTTATAGTATTAATCCTAAAAAACAACCATGGCATAAAATGGAATTACGGGTATGATATTGACTTATTACTAAAACAAAAGATGCACTTACAGATTATGGAGAAAACTGTATCAGGTGTTACTGTTTTCACCCTAAGAAGCTCTTCATGAGAGCAGTTTTAACAGGAGTAGTCCTAGAGCATAGGTCTTTAATTCGCAACCAGAGAAACACAAAAGTGACAGTTTCTGATCCCCAATAGTTTATAATTTGGGTACAAAATTTAATTGCAGTGAAAATTAGATAACACTTAAAATGTAGATATTTATAAATTTGATTATCTCTAGATTTATCAGCAGTAGTTCAGAATTATCTAGTGTTCTTTGGAAGAGTGGTGGAAAACTCATTGTATTTTACAATTTCAATGTAACCTGCAGATTATAAAGTACACAAATCTTAAGGACACAGCTCAATGATTTTTTTTACATATACACAGAATAATTGTCACTTGGATTAAAAGTTAAAACCAAGAAATGTTTTCTGGATTATGTTTAGGAATAAATTTATGTTTTAGTTTGTAAAGATGATTTCTTAATTTCTCTGTTTTAGGAACAAGAACTGATGAAAATAGTTGGCATAAAATATGAAGTGGGATTACCTACCCTTTGCTGCCTTAAACTTGCTTTCTTAGATCCTGATACTGGTAAACTGACTGGCGGATCATTTACTATGAAGTAAGGACTGTTGAAAGAGACATATTTCTTAGTATTGTAGATTTGTTTTTTAAGGTTCAGAGAAATTTCTATATATTGTAGGTACTTCTAAGTATATGCCATAAATTAATTGGTTTCTGTTTGTAACTAGATACCATGATATGCCTGATGTTATAGATTTCCTAGTCCTGAGACAACAATTTGATGATGCAAAATACAGGCGATGGAACATAGGTGGGTGATTTAAGAATGAAAATACTTTAGTTGAAAACATTTTTTCTCTCATAGGTGGTAACTGTCTGTTACAAGATTATAAAATTATTATGAAACTGTTTCTTTTAGATGTTTTTACATACTGGATTAATTCAAAAATATTAATAACAATTTATATTCAGAACCTGAAGACCCCTTAACAAAAAGTGTATTAATTTAAACTAGGACTAAAGCTGAACCAGCTCTTACTATTATATTTAAAGTTAATACTGTAAACTTTAAAATTACAACATTTTCCAGGCATTCAAATGATGCATTAACTTATATACAAATAGGTGTGCTATTATTAAGTAGTTCTGTTAAAAATCAAACAAGGCCACTGTTTGTCATCTTGGAGTGAAGCATTGTATGTATGTAGGACATAATTTGCAAAATGCAGTGATAGATGTGCCATCCCCATCTCTTTAGTGCTGTTGGAAGGTGCTGGCATGGTTGCAGAGGGCAGAGAGTAACCAAGGAATGAAAACTGTGAAGCCTGTTACTTAGGAGATAGTATAAAGTAGGAAAACCAAGAAGAAATTTAAGGTAACAGTCAAGAGCAGTCTCAGGATAGCATTTGTCTGTCAAGTCTAAGAAATAATGAATCCAGAGGATCTTGTCCTTTGAGAGAGAAGTTTTCAGAGGAAAAATAAAATGAGTTCTTATCAAACAAGTTTGAGTTAATTTGGACATTGAATAGTGTCTTTTACAGCTTAAACTGGTAGAAAATGTGTGAAGATATAAATTCATAGAAAACCAAACAAAATAGAAAGCAGTTATTAGAAGAAAACCAAAATTATATGAGAGGAATTATATGCTATTTTACTTAATGGCAAATGTTATTTACATTTACAGTATTACATAATAACACTAAATAGATAGTATAACACATAGGCCTTTTAATACAGTTAATTAGGAATACCAATACTTGGTAACAAAGTAAATCAAGATTTCAGATAAATAAGCATCACTTTTTTCATTTAGATCTTATAAATTTTTTGTGTGTATAGATTAACATTTCTTCTGAAGTTTTTGTCTGATGGATCTTTTATGTCTGAAGAGAGATGCTTCCACCTCCAAATTGCCATTTAAAATTACACTAGTATTAATTTAGCCTTTTCTCAGAAATATTTGGAGCTTACTCTTTGCTTGTCTCTTTAGTCTGCAGCTATTGTTGATCGTGGTTAAGCATTGATTATCAAGTTCATACTAAGTAGCAGAACACCATCAGTGTGTGAAGGAGCATAGATATATCTGTGAAACTTATAGTAAACTGCTTGTAATCTCAGCTGGTCTGGAGGCTGAGGCAGAAGGATTGCAAAACCAAGGCCATTCTGAACAACTCTGTGAGACCCTGTGTCAAAATCAAATAAAGAAGGGGTTGGGAATGTACCTCGGAAGTGACATGCTTGTCTTACAGCATGCATAGGACCTGGATTCAATAGTATTGTCTAAGTTTAGTGTTACCAATATTTATTAAGGAACATCTTGAGACTTTAGTAATTGTGCTTTTCTCTTAACATCTTGTGAGACTGCTTAACCTTGGATCCAAATGTATATCCACTCAGAATGTGTAAATGTATTCTGTTGACTTCTTCCTGGGTCCGTTTTTCCTTTTTATCAATGTATTTTTTCTGCTGTGTTTCTAATTTTTCATTTATTTTATGCTATATGCCTTCATTTTTAAATCATTTCTGTTTAAAAACATGAAGCATTAAGTACTTTTTATAGGTTTAAAAATGCAGCTGTTGGGCCCAGGTTGTAGCTCAGCAGCACAGCACCTGCCTGGCAGGTGTAAGGCCCTGAGTTCAATTCCCGTACCAAAAAAAAGCAACTGTTTCAAATTAGTTAACTTAATTCATTTTTCCTTAGCTGTGTGTTAAAAATGAAAAAACAAATTTTAATAGAAGGCATTACTCAAAACCTACTAAGTGTTAGACATTGCTACTTTTCTAGATTAAAAAATAATTAATGAATTTAAAGTCACAGACTATTTGAACCCAAGTATTTTAGACTCTTGCCTGTGCTAGCCAGGAAAAAACTCAGTAAGTCATACTATAAAACTCAAGAAGAGGATAGTACTCCATAGAGTAAGAAATTGCCTTCGTTTCTGGACGACAGAGCCGGAAGCTGAGAAGATTTTAAGAATAGGCTGTAGTACTGATAGGTTAGTAGGTCTTCATGAAAAGCAATTTAATATGACAGTCCTAAATTCAGTGGGAGAAGGAGATACAAGGTATGTTCCCTGTTTTACAAGGGTTAGTTTCTGGTTTTGTTTGATTCAGTATGAAAGGGAGAATGTGTGTCTATGTTACTACTTACAAGTGGTTGAGGTGAAGGAGGGTGGGTTGGGTTTTTTGCATCTTTTGTTTTGGGGCTGGGTCTTCACTGTTGGTTGGGGAAACCTGTATATAGAAAGTAAAAGATTAAAAATGAACTGTAAATATTTGTTTAGCAGAAGTTACCTAAGCTGTATTTTTTTAAAGAAAAAATTGGACATAGTCATCATGAATTTAAAATGACTGGTAAAAGTACTTTAAGACAAATCTGAATTTCTCCCTACCTAATGAAATCTAAGAAAAGGAATTTGAAATGGGTGAGTCCCACCAAATTGACTTAGTATTGCTTGATAATACCTTTGCCTCAAATGATTTTACATACCTTGGGAAAATGTAGGTCACTTTATGTTTTACGAACTCATACAAGCAATTTAAGTACCTAGAGTTAATAACAGTAATCATAAACTTCAGAGTAGTGAGATGGCTTTTGTTCTTTTCTAGGTGACCGTTTCAGATCAGTCATAGATGATGCTTGGTGGTTTGGAACCATTGAAAGTCAGGAACCTCTTCAGCCTGAGTACCCTGATAGTTTGTTTCAGTGCTATAATGTCTGGTAAGGAGATACATGCTGTATTTTTAGTTAGGCCAGGCTTGCTTTCAGTTTATTCTCCACCTAGTAGTAAAGGGATGAGGTTGCTTCTTTTTAAACGCTGAAGCAATTATGTTTATAAAGTGATTTTATAAAAATTGCAATATAGACTTCAGATTTTTTTTTAATAAAAGATTTTTCCTTTCCTAAAGCTGGGACAATGGAGATACAGAAAAGATGAGCCCTTGGGATATGGAGCTTATACCTAATAATGGTAAGTATATGTTAAGCTTTTTGCATGCACGTTATGGAGTTAATTTCTTTTTTTTGTTTTTTCTCCGGTACCAGGAACTGAACTCACGACCTTGCGCTTGCCAGGCAGGCGCTTTGCCGCTGAGCTAAATCCCCAGCCCCATGGAGTTAATTTCTTAAACAAGAAAACTGGCTAACTTGTTATAAGACCAAGGGTTATTGTGAAGATCAAATAGAAATAGAAAATATTTACTAAGCAAGTGTTTCATGTACAGCTGTTACTGACCCTGGAGGTTGGGGCTGCCCAACAGTGAACAAGATGGATATAATTTTTGCCTATTTGGAATTTGTAGTCTTAACAGGATTGAAATTTATTATAGCAAGAATGGAAAATGTTTTATTCATTATGCGTTCATTTATGAGCATATAGAAGACTGAAGATTTTTGTAACTACAGCAGAATACGTGAGTGTAACATCATAGTTAAGGGGTTGATCTTGGAATCAAACATAGATTTGCATTCTTGCCCTGATAATTTGTATACCATCTTGGCAAATTCCTTAAAGTCTTAGAACCTCAGCTTCTTGGTGCTCAGCCTTTGATTATCTAAACAAATACCTTTCTTAAAGGGCTGCTTTGAGAATTAAACAGCATCATCTGTGTAAGTGCTTATTGTAGAGTCTGACACCTTGGAACATCTTATACAAGGCCAGACACACTCAGGATTTGCAGAGTAGCTGTCGGCAGTGAGTGTGGCATCCTTATTGTGAGAAAAGGGAGGTGTGGCTTAATATGGAGATTGCTTTTTTTAAAAAAACTTGGTAGTATTTTGTTTCAGTTTTCAAAAAATACTTCGATTTGTATGCATTTAAAAATAAAATTAACAAATTAATGATTGTTTATACAGAATGGGATAATGGCATTATACGTTATATTTTATAGTCTATATTAGAATTTTTTTAGCTATATATTATTTTTGCTATCAGGTAAAAATCTTTTAAAAACAAGTTCTGATTTGTAACATGGAGATCATCATTTTTAAATGAAATTGCTAAACAATGTTCTTTAAAAATTCAGACAAGAGAAAATTATTGGATCAAATAAACCCAGCCAGGGAAACATTAGAAATGATCATGTTGATATTCTTTGTATAAGAGTAACTCTTTGCAGAAATTATCACTGACAAGTTATCACCATGTTTTTCATCTCACAGTTAAATTAGCTGCTGAAAACTGCAAAATATCTTAAATCAACTTGTAACCATGTTGCATGGCTTATCTTAGTAGTCTTGTCTCTTTGTGAAAGTTGGAATTAAAGTCAGTGAAGTATCTGGGAGTTTGTGAGTTCATTGATTGTGCTAATACAACTGCATATGGTGGGAGGGATGTTGTTTTTCTGCCTGGATATACATCCATATGCACACATAGAGTTTAGTTACAATATGAGGAAGAATAATTTTAGTTGTACACAAATGATGGCTTATTTCTCTGATGAACACTTGCCTAAAGGAAATATTACCTAGTATATTTGTAAATTTTGTGCTATCATTATCCTCTGTGTTTCTCTTAACTAAAATGTTAAAATTCAGACATGCATAAAGCATACCCTTCATCACTTTAGAGCAAAAAGCATAAGAATTACATGTCATCATTTTCTGTGTTCTTGTATTAGAAAATTTGAAACTTTGATTATTCTTGAAACAAGGTTTTTTTTGTTTACATTGACTGTGTTTATCAGGGTAAATATGGCAATCATAAGGTGATTTAGAAAACTCTGAGCTTTGTTTTTTTTTTTTTTCAAATGTAGTGCTGGGAATCATACTGAGGGCCTTCTACCACTGAGCCACGTGCCCACTCCTGCATTTTTTTTTTTTATAGAACTATTTTCTCTTTCACCTGTAATTTAATTATAAGGCAATTTTTTGCTATGATTATATGGAAAATGATTTATAATGGTAATACTTTTCTTTAAAAAATTGAAATTTTATTGACCCTAAATGGTATTTTCCTTTATGAAGATAATATATTTGCAAATCTTTAAAAAAAGTTATACTTTGATTTTGTGACATCAGTTCTACTTTGGTCTGTAGCCAAATCACCCTGAACAACCCAATCTTGTGTGATCAATTCTCTTTATAGATAACCTAAATACTAATTACCAAATGTTTTTGCTGATCTGCTTTCCTATCTATATTTCAGCTGTATTTCCTGAAGAACTAGGTACCAGTGTTCCTTTAACTGATGTTGAATGCAGATCACTGATCTATAAACCGCTTGATGGAGAATGGGGTACCAATGCCAGAGACGAAGAATGTGAAAGAATTGTTGCAGGAATAAATCAATTGATGACACTAGGTAAATAAGAACAACACATGAGGACAGGGGAAAAGACAGAAAACCAACTGAAGGAAAACTACTGTTATTTGAACAATTCTTCCTACAGTACCATGTCAGTGGTCTTCAGACTTTGTTTTTCCCCTAGTGATGGGGAAACCAGGCCTTCGAACTAGACTGTGCCTCCAACCCTTTTTTATTTTAGTACAAGGTCTTGCTAAGTGGCCTACACAAGTCTCAAATTTGTAATCCTTCTTCCGCAGTTCTGGGATTACAGACATGTACCACCATACCTGACTTCAGACATTTTTAATTAGAATCTTCTGAACAAAGTCTTAAGTAAGACTTAAATATCTAAAATGGTTATAAATGGAATTCTTCTAACTGAATATCAGAGCTAAGTGCCTCCCATAAATGACAAAAATATCTGAAAAATCTGGATTCTTCACAACCTGATTTGAAAAGCTTTGACGTAGTCAAGGTGACATGATGTGCATTGGAGGAGTGTTGAAAACTAAATTTTAATTACTTGGATAGCTGAACCAGTTAAAGACAGAGAAGAGGGGATGTTAATGGATTTGCCTCATTAAAAGAAAAGAAAGAAAGCAGTGACCATGAACATTGATTTTTCGGAACTCTGGATTTCCAGAGTAATTGCAGGCTTAGTGTAGTTTATAGCAGCTTACTCTGGCAGTAAGGAATCAGCATCAAAGAACCTAGGAGAAATTAAAAATTAATACAAGTAAGAAATGATGAAGTCATAAGATGTTAGTGTTTTCAAATGTGAAGGACAAACTGGTTCAGGTTAGGTAAACATTGTATCACTGAGCTGCATCTCCAGCCCTTGATGTGTTATGAAATGGTACTACTTCATAAAAAGTTTTATGAATAAAATCTTAAGTGATTTCATCAATATTTATAAATACAAAGTAGTTTTACATGTGAATGAGCAAAAAAATGGGGTGTGAGTTTGTGTTCTTGTTACTCTGTCAGTCTGTTGTGCTATTTATTGATGATTGAGTCAAAACTTCTGGATTATCTGACTTCACAGAATAATGTTGTGATAAAGTGGTTGGCTTTGCTGAATGTCAAAGGTTATATTTGAATGAAATATGTTACAGTGTTAATGATAAAACAGCTTTTAAAAAAAGTACATTGAGGTATGATCAATCATTACAGAAATGTGTGTGTTAATAGGTCACTTTTAAATGTCATTTCTTTATCCCAGTGAATCTGAATAAAAAATCTGTAGAATTTTGCATTGTAAACATATGCATAAAAACTCAAGTAGAATTCTTTAATTTCTTTAAACATAAAATTTTTAATTTATTTATTTATTTTAGATATTGCCTCAGCATTTGTAGCCCCTGTGGATCTGCAGGCTTATCCCATGTACTGCACTGTAGTGGCATATCCAACGGATCTAAGTACAATTAAACAAAGACTGGAAAACCGATTTTACAGGTTAGACAATTTGATTTTGCTACTACCAAAGGAAGAGCATTAAATGATTCTTTCACCTGTTTATTGATCTTCAGTAGCAAAGTTTCTCAACTATGTGTATACAAATACTACGCATATAAACCACCTGGGGGTCATGTTACATGTAGAATCTGATTCAGTGGGTTGGAGTAAAATCTGATACTCTACACTTCAGATAAGTTTCCGGTAATGACCGTAGACTAGACTTGAGAGCCTTTCCTGGGTGTGATGTGATATGATGTTGATGGTCAACTTCGTTAATACGATGTTTTATAAAGGAAGTCAAAGGATTTTCTCCTAATTACGTATTAGACTATTAGTTCATAGAATTTTTTTTTCCTAAAATACCATAAATTGAATATTTTAATTTGCTAATGTTCCACATATACTCATGAAAAACAGCATTAGGAAAGATTAGTTTTTCATAATTGAAGTCTAGCATAAAATAGAACTCTAGTTAATAATTTCAGTAGGTATTAGTATAGGCCTTAGAAGATGGAAAACCACTGCAATAAAGAAAACTAAGCTGTTAGGCCTCAGATTTTAAAGATTTTAATTTTTGGGGGGCGAATTTGCTGTTGCATCGAGAGTAGGTCCACAGCATTGAGATGAGGAAATCCCTTATGTCAGCAACGGCAAACCCTTTAGAGCTTTCAGTGATAAAAACAGCCTGCTGCAGCACACATGCCATAGGTTTGTCACCACTCCCGTATGTCATATGTCCTGTGTGTGTTTCTCCCAACCATCCTACTCTGAAGCGTACTTCTTTTAAGTGTTTTCAGTATCACATGTTGGAAGTTGAAAGACAAAGTGGAGTGGAAATTCTTTTTGGGTCGGGGGGGGGTACTGGGCATCAAACTCAGGACCTTGCACTTGCCAGGCAGGCAGGTACTTGTGCTACTGAGCTACATCCCCGGCCCTTGAAATTCTTTACTGTGTTTCTCGATCCTAGATGCTGAAGCTTAGGATTTACATCTAGTGCTTACAAGATGGAACAGGACATAAGAGGATGAGAGAGACAGTGACTTACTTTCTATGTACTAGTTGTTGGGCAGCCACTAGATAGATAAGGTGCTAGCATCTCTTGATATTGTTGTAAATATACTTTTTCATAGGAATCCTGCTGAACATGTTAATTGCTAAAGTGCACTTCATTTTAAATACATTATAATAGCTTAAGTAGCCTTTTTTGGCATTAGCCTTGCTTTATGACCAATTTAAGGAAAAAAGTTGAATCCATATATACATATATATCACCTGTTTTACAACATGATAATTTAGTTATAAGCCTGAGTTAGGTTTTTAATATGATGATGCTTTTATGTAGTATTTCACTGTTGGAAAGGGTTTTTTTTACCCCCTCTTACAGTTATGTTTTTTCTGATACTTCTAGAGGACCTGCCTCTTAAACAACTACCTTCATTTTGCCTTGGTAGTATGTGTTACTCTAATGCCTTATAAGATAGTTTTCTATGTGATACACTGAAGAGGTATGTGACTATTAATAGAATAGTGCCTTGTGAGTCTATTTGAAATACACAGAACTTTTGTATGCTTGGGTATCTCTATAAAATCACATTTCTGACTGCAAATTGTAAGATTTTCTCAGTATTTTTTTTATTAAGTTTGGCTACAACTGGATGATATTCTTAGGAGTCACTTTGGGATTTTTCTTTGAGGAATTATAAAAAAAAATTTTTAGCATTGTTTAGAACACACTTCTTAGTTTTCTTATAAATACATTGTATTTTTATATCTGATAAGCAGGCTGTCAATTACCTTTTCATTTATATATATCATTTGATTAGTAATACTACAGTAAGATTAAAATTGCTTTATGTGGAGAAACCAGAGGTGCTTATTGTAAAAAAATGGTACTATACATGAAAAACATACAAAGCTAGAAACTGAAGCTTATCTTCTGCCACATCCCTTTTGACCTTCCCCTCCTGAGAAGGCGGCACTACAACATAACCTGTCTTAGTCCAAATACTTTATGTGCAGGTCGACAGTATTGCTCTTCACTTTGCCCCTGATGCAAATCGGGGTACACTTGCTTTGCAAATGGCTTTTTAAGATGTGAATGATATGGTTGGCTTGAGACTGCAGTTGAAGTCAGAATGTCTTAATTTTGTTAGGTACATATACATCCAAATATGAGGAAGCTAAGACTTTACGTGCTTTGTTTTTAAAGGCGAGTTTCTTCCCTAATGTGGGAAATTCGATACATAGAGCATAATACACGAACGTTTAATGAGCCAGGAAGCCCAATTGTGAAATCTGCTAAGTTTGTGACTGACCTTCTTCTACACTTCATCAAGTGAGTTCCTTATGCTTACTTACAACAGTTGGCACTACTTTGTAAATATAAAATAATTTTGAATGCTAAAATATGAAAAGACAATTATTATTTATATCTGTGATACTATGTTCTTTCAAGTAACGTAGCTTGTCTCAAAATAGAAAGCCTTTGTCTAAAGAAAAAAACATTTAAACCAATTATCTATTGAACATGTGACATTTTACCTTTATTAGTTCTAAGCCAAATAATAATCTCACAGGTGAGGAGAATCATATGCATACTTGAGGGAATACTTGGAAGTTAACTTGCCTGAGGTCACATGATAAATTCAATGTCTGCCATTTAATTTGAGAGCTTTTATTTTAATAGTATATTGTTCCTGTCAAGTTCATGAATATTTAAGTCATTTAGGACAATACTGAATTTAACTTTGAAAATTCTTTGTAGAGTCACATTTATTTCCTCATTCACTGATTCCATATCAGCAATGATACCTACAAGCTAAGGACAAAGCCCCTTTCCTTTTACCTTGTGGATTTTATGTAGCCATAGAATGATTTGAGTCTTCAGAATTAAAGATGGAGACATGAACCATATACTTTGGTAGGGAAGATTCCTCAGATTTAATTTTTTTTCTGATGAAGTAACAATTATTTTAAATGTTTACAGCTTTGTTACCGTTTTATTCTTTCCTTCCTATACCCATCCCTGACCCTAGTTTCCCTTTTGTGAACAGTTTCTTCTTATTTCACAATACATATTGTACATTTTGGTCCTTATGTACAGTTTTACTTTCTCACATCAGAGAGACAGTGCATGTCTGATTTAGTTCACTTAAGAGTATCGTCTCAAGATGCATCCAATTTTTACCTAGATAAGTTTCAAGTATATCTTTATGGATGAGTAGTACTTCATTGTGTTAAAAAGAACACATCTTTTTCATCCATTCCTCAATTGATGGAAATTTGGGCTATTTGCAAGATTTAGTTATTACAGACTATGCTGCTGTAAATATGAGTACACATACACTGCTGAAATGAATGTGATCATTATATGTAAATTGTACCAATAAACTTAATTTTAGAAAATTAGACCCAAAAAAACTCACATCATTTTTAGGAAGTCAAATAATAGCTTACTCAGCCTTTTGCTAGTTTATTCTCTAAGAAATCTTAGTTTCCAAATAGTTTTGGGGGTTTTTACTACCCTGCTTCAGGGAAGTTAATAATTGTGAATTATCCTCAGAAAACTCTCCTGTCTGTAAGTTTAAGTGAGAAATGTATGTGTGTATATCTTTTTTTTTTCTAGATAAGACTAGAATCACACAGTATAAAATATATATGTTTCAGTAAAATAATTTAGTTGAAAATTTTTCACATTTGGAGTGGTGTAAAAAAGTACCTTTCAAACAATTATTTTGAAATACTTTTGAAATACAGATTAATATAATATCCAAAGAGTCTATATGATATATTTCTAAAAATAAATCTCTAGGATTTCTGAGATGTATGTTATTAGTCACTTTCAAGGTGGGACGTTACGTATACAGCCTCAAAATTTGATCATTGTACTTTTTGTAGTTACTTGACAAAATTTCCGCAATACAAAGTGATATAAGTATTTGCAGGTAGAAAAGACTATTTTTACCCTAATACAGTTTCATGGGGTAGATAATGTGAGGAAAACTGATAGTGAGCGAATCAGTGGTGTAGATGGAGATAGCCACTTGTTACAGGGGAGATTTGGTTGCAGGGAAGCAGTGTGTTAAAATGATGTAGAAAAAGGTAGATACTGATGGATTCAGGACAAGTGAGGCGTGAAGAAAGCCGTTCCAGGAGTAAGGAGTAACATGAGGTAGAAAAGTTAGTGTTATTTAGTGCATTGTAATTGAAAGTGGCAAAATAGAGAATGTGTGTGTATAAATAGTAGAAATACAGTACTATAAGTAGACACCTGGTAATGGAGGACTTTGAGTGCCTGCCTGAGGTACTGGACATTAAAAGTATGGAATGAGTGTGATCTCTAGAAAGAGAGACATGATTTCTAGGAACAAGAGGATGTTAAAAGTGTTTTAGCCTGAAAATAATATATTGTGCAGTATCCTTAAAAGTACTAATTTGACTGAAAAATCTAATATGAATATAGAGAGGAGACAAAAAGCATCAATGGCAGGATTGGCTGTTTACAGCTGACCAAGTAAAAAGGTGATCAGGCATAATTTATGGAAATGAGAAAAGTATAGATCTGAAGAGATTTTAGAGGATAGAACTTGCAGGAGTTCCACTGTGACCACTGATTGGATTTTAAGAAGAAATCAAAAGGGTAGAATAATGAAAATGCACCATTCAAATGCTATAAGGATTATATGCTAAAGAAAAAAATTAAAAAGTGAAGAGTAGGGAGAAGTCTGTTAAAGTTAGAGCTGCAATTTTAGGTGATAGTATTTAGAGAAAATGACTAAGGAGAAAATACTGTGGAATTACGTTTAAGGATGAAAGGATTGAAACACAGAGGGTTTATTAACTTTACCTTAAAGGCTAAGGAGTAAAAGCAAGGGCATCCCAGGGACAGCAGTGACTGAACAAGACCTCGAGGATGTGAGGCTTCGGTTTGGTGTAATAAAATAGACCGGAGTTTTAAGGCTGTTAACTCTACAGTGCACGTGGGGGAAGGAGCTGAACAGGTGTGCTTAAGATGTATTGGAGGCAACAAATTGAGAAAATCTTTCACGTTTATCTTAAAATCTGGCTTTTAGGAATAGATTTTAAAGGTAACAAATCTCATGGCTCTCATCTTACTATGTATTACCATTTAATTTTTATTTAGAGATCAGACTTGTTATAACATAATTCCACTTTACAATTCAATGAAGAAGAAAGTATTGTCTGATTCCGAGGTAAGTAATATTTCACTATGATTACTATATTGGCGTTATGTTGTATAAAATTTACATATTACTTTTAGATAAAAGCTGTTAGAATAATTTTTTTGCCAATCATATAGTTTACTTTTTTATAAAACACTATTCAGAATTTTCTTAGTAGTGGCAAAACATTCTTTCAAACACAGGGAGACTTTTTAACTAATCAGTAAAGAACTTCAGTGTGTGTGTGTGTGTATATATATATATATATATATATATATATATATATATAGTGTATTTTATGAATTTGAGTATAATGTTGAGTACAATAAAATCTAGAATGTTTTAGTATTCTGATATATTCTTGACTCAAAGGAAGAAGAGAAGGATGCTGATGTGCCAGGAACTTCTACCCGAAAAAGGAAGGTAATATGGATTTTGCTTTTGAAGAGAATTAAATTCATATTTTATGTATTAAGAGCTTGATTTTTACTCTTAGCAGTTTTAAAGGCAGATGAAGTATTACTTTCAAATCAGTTTAAATCATAAAATGCATGTGTTTCAGAAGTAGACATTTTCTTTTATTCAAAGTACTATATGTCATAGCTTGACTATACCTAATTTGAAAATCCAGAATTAAAAAACGTTTTGAGCACTAACTTTTAAAAACCTTCGGATTTTAGATTGTCTGTTTTCAGATTTTTGAATTAGGGATATTTAGCCATTATACTGTATGTAAATATTCCAGATCAGGGTCAGTGGGCACTCCAAAACACTTCTGGACCTAGTATTTCAGGTAATGAATATGCAACTTGTACCAAGACTGCAGTAAAAGTACAAGTTGTATTGTGTATGTGCTATTTTACTAATGTATTTGAACGTTTTTACTTCAGGATCATCAGCCTAGAAGGAGATTACGTAACAGAGCTCAGTCTTACGACATTCAAGAGTGGAAGAAACAATGTCAAGAATTGTTAAATCTCATATTTCAGTGTGAAGATTCAGAGCCTTTCCGCCAGCCTGTAGATCTTCTTGAATATCCAGTAAGTATTTTTCAAAATAATTTCCTTACCTGTTTACTGCTTTTTTTTAAATACATATCAATTTGATTGTTTCATCCATTTTCTCATTGTTTGGTTATATAGTTAATCTAACCTGAATAGTGTGATAAACTGCAAAAATGCCCTGAATTAAGTCTACAAAGAAGTAAGTTAATTATCATAGCTCTACTCCTAACAGTTTTCTGATTTTGAGCTAGTCACTGAGTTTTCCCATCTGGATATAATTTTTACTAATTCTTTTCTCACACACGCATCATTATCTAGAAAACAGTAATACCTACTTCTCTATAGATTTATGTAGATAAGCATATATAAGTAGTAGTTTTAAATGGTGGCATACTACATAGAAATGTAAGGTGGCATTATTATGTATATTCAGGTATTAGGTATAATGTTTATGGAATGCATTGTAAAAAGTTGAATAAACATTATCCAAATATTTTAGCATGTAGTCACAGCAATCAAAATTAAGCCCTAGAGGACTTTTTATTTATTAAGTTACTAAAGATTATATGGTTCAAAAAACATTCTTGGTTTCAAGTGAAAATTTAAAAGTGTTATAACCTAGATAGGATATCCTCAGACTTCATTATTTGTTTTTTAATTTCATAGTGAAAATATTGAAGTATCATCAATTGGTAAACATCATAAAATGACTTACTGTCATTTCAAAAAGGGAAGCACACTCTTAAATGTGTAAGAAATATTTAATTCTAGATGTGAAGAAATTATATAGAATGCTGTACACAAAGAACTAAGGAGATGAAAAGTCTGAAGGAGATTGATAATAGTGCGTAGAATGAGCCTATCCAAAATATATC